AACTTGTTAGTTCCCTTAAATATCGTCGGATGATTCCATAACCAAATTTGATATTTTTGATATTGCATTACATAATGCTAATATACTAATGGGTCGTATGTGTTACCAAACATGGGGTTATTTCGTTATCCTGGTAATGCTGTTATCGAGTTGGAAAGGTTGGAAAAAGATTGATATAAATGGTTATATTGATATACAGCAAACACTTCGTTTAGCTCCTTCAATCATGGTGTAAGGTTAATACTCACATTCGTGTCCCTTGTGATGCCTTAATGTCGTATTTGCATGCTAATACTTAATTGGGAGAAAGACTGAATCTCAGATAAGACCAAGTCTCAAATTCACATATTTGATTTCTTCGGTCATATTGCGTCAAAATAAGCAAAGTTAAAACACATTTATTTCTTATTTTATTGTAAAAGAGGTGGCATGTCATACATGCGGTTTAGATTTTTTCAAGTCATGTTAAAAGTTATGAACGTGTGAGGTGTTGATTTACTTGTCTTATTAGTCGAAGATCGAAGGAACATCTCCCAGGAGACGTCATGAACTCTGCGCCAATCACTGACTTTATTACAAATTTGAAAGAAATGAGTTTTTTAACTGAGGAAAGAAACTATTGGCTGTGAACTCTGTCTTCATATCTTATTGGATTTATCGATTCGGTTACAGTACCATTTTCTAGACTAATTGGTAATAAGCGCCTCGTAGCAACTCATAAAGAAAATTTAAAATAAATAACAAAGGATTTAAGAGTTTAGCAAGCAGTAATGAAAACCCACGAAACTAGATAAATTGTTATTTATATTTTTTATGTAAGTTAATATTTTAGCAAAACTTTAATCAAACACATGAAAAAAGATATATTGTTATTTATATATTTTTTTCATACAAGTTAATATTTTAACATAACGGTAATCAATACTCAGGAAAAGAGATAAATTGTTAGATTTTTTTTTTTACGTATAGACGAGGTAATATTTCGTAGAAAATTGAGATTACAAGCTATATTTCTAACAAACACGAAGGCTAAGACATATAGCCTTGTTGCCAGGGCAACACCCGTGGAGCTAACTTAGATAGTGTGCCGAGACGTTCGAGTGTGACGAAAAGTTCCAGTGGCTATAAAATCAAAGACAGTTGGGCAAACTTATCCACATAAAACTTCAGACGCAAAACAATATAAAATACAAATTATCGTATGTTGGTCTCAAACATTAAACACTCTGCCCCATTTTCTTTCCTTTCGAATGGTCTACCATTCCTAACTTTGAAAATCCAAAAAGATTATCAATTTTTGGTTTCTATTATATGTTTTTCATTCCAATTTCCCCACCCACCTGTCTAATTATCGTAGCTGACACAGAGTTGAGTGTCTAGAAGAGGTGGCGATGTGATTATGATTCAGTGTTCTAGAATTTAATTAAAAAGTTGATTTGTGTTAGACGTAAATTTAAAGGGACCTTAAAGTGGGTTAATTTGTGTCTTCCTTGATACTATGTCCAGTCTGTTAATTTAAAAGGGATTTAAGACAAATCTGTGCCAATTTATTGCTTTGACCTGTGCAGCACAACCAAGTCTATAGTACTGACACACTACTGATTCTACTACTACTTGTCGAAATTCATGATAGACTTATACTTTGTCTATTAGAGCGGATATAATATAGTCCTTTGATCTCACTTATAAATAAAAACAGTCATGTGGTCAACTCCCTTCCAAATAATATTGGATTCTTTCTGGTTATGGTCGTCAGAATGTTAAAAAATGTTGTTGGACAGGAAATGGCATGGGTAGAGATTTTCGAGAGTGTCGGTTATCGTATTTGATTTTGATAAACAATAAAAGTGTTGATATTTCATAAGATTTGAAGCGTTAATTTATTCTAATACTATTTCGAAACAGTTAACAGTATTTGATAAAAAAAACCCAAAACTGAAATAAAACACAAATGGATTAATTTGACAGGTTACACTGCCAAATTGAAAACGAGATTTTTTCCTATAAACGGATATGACCTCAAAGACAAATATTTTCACCATATTATCCTAATCTAAATTAATGGGTTTCTTTTAGACCGCAAATGTTGTTCTAATAGAAATTTTCTGACAAAATTGTTAATTTCGATTTAAGATTAAGAATACAAACACGCACACATCAATAAAATCTGACGGACAGACTACAACTATTAAAAAAAAAATATATCTCGATAAAATGGTCTTTGTATTTTGGTTATTACTGGTCTTCTGTATACGGGTACATTAGCGAGTGTGACTTTATTACTAACTAAAGTGGTAGCTGAACTAAGTAACACAAATTTAGTTACATAGACTACAAATTGAAATACGTAAACTGTCTAATGGTAATCAATGGATCGTTATTGGTTTTAGTGTTTCTCTTGAACGTAATTGACAAAAAGATTAGCATTGATTTTCCATTTTATTTGGTAATTTGGGATGCTTATGTTGGCAGTCGGGACTTCTGTACACTAAGAGTGTAAATAACGTCTTTCATTGTCTAGTCACATCCTACGAGTTCATCATATTTGTAAACATGAGCAAATACGCCATTTTCATAATTTATATGTCCAATTTATTGTTAATGGCCAAGTGAAGCATATATTTTATGTTCTCTTGAAACATCTTTTTAACACAACTGGAATACTCTGAAAGGGAATGTGTTGTTTATTTATGGTAAGTTGTTAACAGCGCTAGGTTTTGCTCCACTACTACCTATTGACTTTGTGTAGGCCCTGGCCTCCTGTATTTGGCAACGGGGCTTCATTTCTCGACAACGTAATGCTTCGTTTATTTGAACACAAAAACGGGTATATTTTCCGTTTGTGTACATTGCAAAGTAGGTGAATTTGCATGAACAGCTGCGTTTCCACTTACTCTTGTATGATTTCCAACTATCAATGGCTCTTGTTCGTACACGCCAGTGTATACATGAGTAGACATGTTTTTCTTTCGTCCCACTCGAACGATGAGGCACACTTTCCTTGTTACCCCTGACAAATGAAGGCCAAAATCACGAAAGTTCTTCTCTGCAAATGCCGGGATTCGGATCAAGGAACCACACCCTCCCCCCAAGTTTAAACCATTCAAGATCCGCGCTGGAATATATCACAGAAATGGCGTGCTGTAGTCGCGATAGTAACTCTAGTTAATCCCGAAAAAATCAATCGTAATTTGAAGCACATAAAGTCAGCAAGTCTAGTGTAGACGATTCGTAGAAAAATGAACGTAATGTACATGTGCACACTTTTTGATTCATGTAATCTATAAACAAGGGTTTAATCGGCAATTGTTATTTATCACCAGTAATATTCTCGGTTTATTGCTAGCTGCTATCCCAATAGGTTTTCAATATTCCCTCAACTCACCTTAAAGTAATGGTGCAGACCATAATTATTATAGTTCATATGGGATCGGTTTATCTACCAATTCCAGAAACTACAATTACACCCCCGACAATACAGTAGAAAAGTGATAAACATGCTTTATTATTCATAGAGTTGTACAAATACATATATTAGAATTAGTTATACCCATGTGTCTTTCTTAAACTATCCAAGTAAACATGTAATCTTTCTTAAACTATCCAAGTAAACATGTAATACATATTCATAATCTACAATTGAGGTATATTATGATGTACAGTACAACAATATGAGTATATCTATATAGTATGATGTATAATAGAACACTACAATAGCACCATATCAGTATAGTATGATGTACAATACAAAAGATTTGTTGGTTATGTGAACACGTCAATTTCCATTCACACAGACAAGCTTAAATGATGTGGCTGTAATAAAGCCAGTAAAACGAAGCTACATTTAAATATATGCAAATTATTTTCCTCGCAATTAACTCCCAATAAGAAGCAAGGAATTTATCCCGAAAGCCACTGTGACTTTAAAACCAAAGAACCGTGAAATTGTTCTTCAATTGTTCCCTTTCCTTTGGGCAGATTAAATCTGAGCCGCATTCCTGATAAAAAATATACTATTTATGGCATGCTTCTCAGTTTATTTTCTAAAGCCCCCATCACACCAAACAAGTTCTCAAAAACGGCCTACCCCGCCCTAGAAAATTGTAAAACGGGTTGTGGTCGGGGTAGAATTTGTAAATAATGTCAATACATGCATCTCGTCTGTACCCTGCCCACTGTCAGTTCATATCAGTTCATTTCCAAGCAGCCCAGGCCCACCGGTAGCTATTTCACCCATTGTCATTCTTCAATCGCGTTAAACGCCTCATGCTGTGCTTATCAAGCCATTCAAATATAGTACTACGGTTGTCTCCTGTGTTTATCATGCCCTCAAAGAGAAGTGCCAAAAGGACTGCCAGTGGGAAGGCAGCCACTGGTAATGCCCGAAGATCCCAAGCCAGCCAGATCAGGCCCAAGTTGCTGAGTCTCCTGAACCTGTCCCTTGACTCTATAGATCTCCACAGTCTGCCTCAGCAGATGACGGAGAGTAGCAGAAGACCCTTAAGAAAACCAGACTCCCACCCATCTTACCCCTGAGAAAGAAGAGTGCATGGTGGAATGAAGTCCTCTATAATTGATGCTCGACCATGTCACAATGAAACACGTCCCTAGTAGGATTAGGATCGAAGTACGACATTTCCGTTCATAGTACGCCCATCTTGTTTTATGTACGATGTCACTCCGCCTAATTGCAGAACGCAGTGTGGCATTAAACATTAGGCAAATCAGCCAAAAATTCAGGTCACAAAACAATAACGTAAAAAAGTTGTAATCTAGGTACTGTTATGGTAATTACGGTACTGTCAACAACAACAAAAAAAAAGGTTCTGAATTTTTTAGTTATAAATTTGATAATGACTAGAGAAGCCTAGTCGAAACGTCGCTCAGTAATAAGCAGTAATTGTATTCCATAGAATTGTGACCTGTGTATTTGATTTAGTATCATGCTCAGATGTTCCAATATAGTGTAATACATTTGATTTTCCTTTCTTTCATTGCAGTATGTTCTCATTTATCCAAAGGAGTATTGGCTATATTTGGAGTATCGAACGCCTCATCATTAGCAACAATCCAGTCATATAGTAACACATTTAAAGTGCCATTTATTACCATAAGTATGGCCCAAAATACTTCTTCCATCGACTCCTACCAAATCTACATGCGTCCATTGTATATTAATGCCATTATAAAAGTTATTGAACATTTTGAATGGATGAAAGTGTCGTATATATATGATTCTGATGAAGGTAAGCTTAGGGTTTTTTTTGTCATCTTACAAATGTGTTTATTTGTGTTGTTTAATTTCTGTTATATTAAAACTTACAGATATACCCTTTAGATGCGTATATTTAAGCTAGGTTAAAAACGGAGTTTTAAAGACAAGAGAGCATAGCGTTGGCGGATACTATAAGCCAAACCAGTTTGAATATTCTAAAATGTATTGTGACAAGTTTATTTGTCCCATCTTCGCGTTTGAACTGGCGTTGTTAATCCAACTTAACTTAATCATCTGAACGGCATAATTCTGACGGTTTTGAAGACATTGCCTATTTAGGAATTATGGAATCATACATTTTTGTAAATCATTTGTTATATTCACGGTTTAAAACTTGTAATGTAGATTTATGGACAACTGCTAATCAGCGAGCAAGTCGATTATAATTGCCAATTCGGGATGAAAATACAGACTGTGTCATTCTCGAGAAGCAAGTCATCAAGGACACGTTGTTAAAGATGTTGTTTTATAAGATAATACTATAGTCTTTGCTGTAACATTCACAATGATTCTATTAGACCCCCCAATACTCTTTTAAGCAATCATAGAATGTCCTTACAGACACTCAACTATATCATCACTACTATAACAAGTGTGTCGCAAACAACTCTATTATCATGTTTGAAGCACTATACATGATTGGCCCGAGAATAGCACAACTATTGGAATATTAAGCCTTGTTATTTCACTGAAGAAACACAACCATTCTCTACATAACAATAACTTTTAATTCGGTTAGTATTTGGCTATCATTATAACATCTTGCTTGTTATTATCTACATAACACACATTTGTTATTACAGCTAATATGATTATATACAATTTTATTAGCTACACTAATTCTACATGCATGGGTTATTACAGTAAACATATATGTTATTACCTACATTAACTCAATACGTGTTATTAGCTAAAATATATACCTTATTACCTACATTAACTCTACAAACATGTGTTATTACAGCTAACATATATACGTTGCTACCTATATAAACTCTACATACATGTTATATTACAAATAACATATTTACGTTATTACCTCTATTAACTCTACATACATACGTTATTACAGCTAACATCTACATTAACTCAAAATCCACGCTTTATTATAGCTTGGCTATATATAATGTTATTATCTGCATACATCTTCCTTGTTATTATCTTCAGTAACTCTACATATATTTGTTATTAGAGTTAACATAATAATGTTATTATCTACATTAATTCCACATGTTATTACAGCTAATCTATATATAATGTTATTATCTACATTTACTCCACACACAAGTGATATTTATATCTATATTTGGCTTTTAAACTGCGATTTGTTATTATCAACATTATCTCTACAGCATGAGTGTACAAGCATAAAGGTTTTTTATTAACTGTTATCTTTCATTATATCAATATTTTCTCTATATCTATTTTTTACGTTTATTACTTTAAAAGTTTATCATCTGCACCATGTTCTGTTATTATTATCATTTAATCGCCATTATTACCGATACCTGTATATATTTTACCTACACCTCGTTGTTTTAAATAACACTAATTGTCCCCACCTTTCGAATTGTGCGCCCGTCTGTCTGTCTGTCTGTCCGTCAAACTTTTTGGGGCACAATAACTTTCCTTCTAATTGAGCTAGAATGTTTAAACTTGGTGTAGGTGTTTATTAGGAGAATGCCGCCATGGAGTTTGAAGGTGAGCATTTTCTGCTTAGGCTAAGCAGATAAGCAATTTGATTAGCTGATGCTCTTGGACACGATAACTTTATTTCTAGTTACGCGATAGTTATGAAACTTGGTGTATAGTTTCATAACATCAATACCCTGACTAAGTTCGATAATGAACATTTTCTACTCAGGGTAAGCAGAGCGATAAGCAATTTGATTGGTCGAGACTTTTGAGCTCGACAGCTTTGATTCTAATTGAGTGATAGTTGTGAATCTTCGTGTATAGTTTCGTTATATCAATACATTAACAAAGTTCGATGTTGAGAATTTTCTGCTTAGGCAAAGTAGAGACTTCAATCTGATTGGTCGAGACTTTGGAACACAATAACTCCCCTTCTCATTGAGGTAGAATGTCCAACCTTGGTGTAGATGTCTATTAGGCGAATGCGTTGACAGAGTTCGATCGTGCGCATTTTCCACTAAGGCTAAGCAGAGATAAGCAATTTGATTGGTTGAGATTTAGGAACATGATAACTTTGGTTCAAATTGGGTGTTAGCGATGAAACTCCGAGTATACCTTGACTAAGTTCGATGATTAGAATTTTCTGCCTTGGCTAATTAACGATAAGCGATTTGATTGGTCAAGACTTCGGAACATAAGAACTATGCTTAATTGAGGTAGAATGTTTAAACTTGATGTTGGTGTTCATTAGGTGAATGTCTCGACTGAGTTCAATGATTATTATTTCGAGCTAAAGCTAAGGAGCTAAGTAATGTCATTGGTCGATGATTTAGGACAAGATAACTTTGATTCTATCTGATAGAAAGTGATGAAACTTAGTGTATAGTTGATAATCTGTTTGATTGCTTGATACTTTTGAAAAAAATAAATTTGCGATAAATAAATATGTGTCATCTATTTATTTTAGGATTTTGGCGGAGGACACCAGCCTCACTGTTGACTTGTTATCTATGTTATTATCTATGTAATCTAATCCTACTTTTGTCTGTTATCATCTATTTACCAAATCCTACTTCTGTCTCTTAGTATCTATGTTATCTAATCCTACTTCTGTCTCTTATTATCCATGGAAGCCGCGGTGGCTCAGTGAGTAAGACTTTGACTCCTAGGCTGGAGATCTCGGTTTCGCTTCCGGGACTTTCCGGCGTGGTTTCCCCGTGTCAGTGGTGTAGGACGACGGGCTGGCAAGGGCAGCTGACTAGTCATTCAGATGTCACGAAACACCAAGGTCCGCGTACACATTGGCGTGCACGTAAATAAACTCTTGGATTTTGAAATAAGAGTAGAGCAAACCTTCCCTCACAGCACACTATATGGTGTATTCGCCCGTTTTCATTCGCTCATTCGGTGCAGAAAAGTAGGACGTTAAACCCCATTTCATTGCATTTATTTTGTGTTATTATCTGCATGTCTGCTATTATTTACATTAAAATTAAATCTGTTATTATCTGCATTAAATTAAAACCCCTTATATTGTTATCGTCTATTTTAATTCCTAAGTTTGTTATTAACTCTTTTGTTGTTATTATATTTGCATTAATCATAATCAACGTTTGCGATAATTATGTTTGTGTTCAGTATATGCTTTTTAACTGGCAGTAAACCATTAAAAATATAAACAGATGTAATTAATTTTATATATTTAAAATAATCCTATGATTCCCTATTATCCTAAATCCAAGCAGTATACTATTAACAACGAAATATTTTGCCCTGGCGCTCGCTCTGAAACAAGAAAACTTTTTCATCTCACATTGTGCACACTTTCTCATTTAAGCATGATCGATTGAATTGTATAGTCAGATCGTGTGAAAGGTAAAGAAATGGAGTTTACATATCGGTTACCGCTGTACAATAAGAGTTTATATCCTACTTACATCTTTTATTATGAACATAATCTCCCACGTCTATCTATTATTGTCGGAATCCACCACCACGTCTATCTGTTGCAATCTGCAGTCACCTTACTTCTATCTGTTATTATATACATTCACACCTATTTAGGTTATTATGTACACCTCACTTCTATCTGTTATTATGTACACCCCACTTCTATCTGTTATAATCTACAGCTCCCCCCTCCCCTGCTCCTGTCTGTTATAATCTACACCCTCCCCCACTATCTACACTCACTCCTACTTCTATCTGTTATAATCTACACACTATCCCCTATTTCTATCGCGTATTATCTACCCCCCCCCCACACACACGTCTATCTGTTACCTCTACCTCTATCTGTTATAATCTACACTCACCCGTATTTAGGTCTGTTACTATCTATACCCACCCCTACTTCTATCTGTTATAATCTACATACACCCTACTTCTATCTATTAGTTATTATCTACACTCATCATTACTTATCTGTTATTATCTACATTCACCCCTAATTCTATCTGTTATAATCTACATACACCGATACTTCTATCTGTTATAATCTAGACCCATCCTACTTCTATTAGTTATTATCTACACTCATCCCTACTTCTATCTGTTATAATCTACATCCACCCCTACTTCTATATGTTATAATCTACATCCACCCCTACTTCTATCTTTTGTTATCTACACTCACCCGTCTCTTATTATCTACACCCACCCCTACTTAAATCTGTTGTTATCTGTTATAATCTACATTCATCCCTACTTCTATCTGTTGGTATCTACAATCACCCCTACTTCTATCTTTTATAATCTACATGTACCCTATTTCTATCTGTTATTATCTACACTCATCCCTACTTCTATCTGTTATAATCTACATCCACCCTACTTCTATCTGTTATTATCTACACTCATTCCCATTTCTATCTGTTATTATCTACATTCACCCCTACTTCTATCTGTTATTATCTACACTCATCCCTACTTCTATCTGTTATAATCTACATCCACCCCTACTTCTATCTGTTATAATCTACATCCACCCCAACTTCTATCTGTTATTATCTACACTCACCCCTACTTATATCTGTTATAATCTACATTCACCCCTACTTCTATCTGATATTATCTACATTCACCCCTACTTCTATTTGTTATAATCTACATTCACCACTACTTCTATCTGTTGTTATCTACACTCACCCCTACTTCTATCTCTTATTATCTACATTCACCGCTACTTATATCTATTATAATCTACATTTACCCCTACTTCTATCTGTTATTATCTACACTCATCCCTACTTCTATCTGTTATTATCTACACTCACCCCTACTTCTGTTTGTTATAATCTACATCCATCCCTACTTCTATCTGTTATTATCTACAATCACCCCTACTTCTATCTGTTGTAATCTACATCCACTCCTACTTCTATCTGTTATTATCTACACCCACCCCTACTTAGGTCTGTTGCTATCTGTTATAATCTACACTCACCCCTACTTCTATCTGTCATAATCTATAATCACCTGGGGGGTTGGATGGCTGAATGGTTAGCGTGCGCGCGCTGTATCATAAAGTCTGTCATTGAGTCGACTGGCGTGGTTTCGAATCCCCGGTTGTACGTGGCAAGGAGTAGGGTCGCCTGTCCAACCTCGTGGGTTTTCTCCGGGTCCTCCGGTTTCCTCCCACTGCTAAAGACCCCTACGCGCAAGCGAATTATGTAAATAAAATTAAACCTTATGTTAGTCCCGAAATGACCTAGTTTGTGTCGAGTGGACGTTAAACCCCATTTCTCTCTCTCTCTATAATCACCTTACTTCTTATTGTTATTATATACATTAATGTTTTCTGCATCAATTTCTATTTGTTATTATATACATCTAACCCGACACCTGTATGTTATTGTCTACCACAACCCTTACTTATATGCTAGTATGATATGTTAGTTACCTCTATTTCTACCCTATATGATATTATCTACATCCATTCATGCCATATATGTTGTTATCTTTATAAATGCTACTTCAGTCTGTGATACCTGCATTAAATATCACTGTTGCCTTTTATTACCATTATCTAGTCATTCAACTTAAATGATTCCAATATGACCTGGTTGCATTTGATGGAATTTCCATCGAGAATAGGATGTTCAAACTGAAAGTCTTAATATCATTCCCCTACCATTTTTGAAGCCTGGAGCTCGCTCCTTTGTGCACTTGTACCTTAGCGTAATTATCTATAATTGTTCAATCAAGCTCAAAATATAATTATGTGTTTTGTGAATTATTGATCGGCAGCTGCTTTTGACCAGAAACTGAAATAGCGTTTCCCTTTGGAAAATAAAACCAATTATTCTTATTTTTTATCTCCTCAGGATTAATAAGACTTCAGCAATTATTTCAATCTACCAACTCTTATGAATATGATTTACATATAGATGCTAAACGTGTCACTTCTGTAGAGAATTGTTTTACTGTTTTATATGTAAGTAAAATGGTATATATTATTTTTTTTATTAAACCGCACTGTCACGCTGTACGGAACACATTAGTAATTCCCCAAAACACCAATCGGAGCAGGACAGAAGGATGTTTAACCCCATTTCATTTCATTTCATTTAATGCCTAAAGCAACAAAACAATTACGTTATGTGATATGCCAGGGCATGCTCTCTTTATAATGATTTAATAGCCCGTGGAAAACTATAATATATTAACATGAAAATTGCCATCTTAACTTCTATCTGTAGTCGAAAGGCCATCTCGACATATTACAGATCTGCTCCCTAAAACTGTTTTTGTATTGTTATTATATTCGGTTTCATTTAACGCGACGGCAAAAGCTGGTGTCGAGCACGAGGAAGGACACGCTTTCGATGGCGGACAATCTGGTTAAAACACGGATCCTATTTTATAGTTCAAAATTTCGTTTTACTTGTCTTTACTACACTTGGATCCGGAAGACTTGTTATTTAACTCGTGTTCTGCTTGAAATGAGGGGTCAGCCAATCAAATGGTCTGTCTAATCGAGTTTTTGACCTTTTTTGCCCGGAATTGTGGGTAATCCACTAGTAACATTAATGCTGATTGGTTAATCAAATGTCTGACGTCATAGGTCAAAAGTCGGTCTTTAAATTGACCCCTGACGTGACCTATCGCTATAACTTGTCAGATCTTCATGTAGTGTAGGCCATCGAAAGTATAAAAAACGAAACGAAATATATATAGATCTGTATTTTAATCAGATTGGGTGGCTGACGCAGGTTAATTGGATGGGGGCTGTGGCGGCTATCCTCGCCCGAGAACCTTGTGTCAATAGCGATTTGTGGTACATATCTGAACCCGAATATAACAGTCCATTTCATCAACCAACAAAAAGCAAATATTTACACGTTTCACGGAAACATAGTAATGAGTGAAGTTTTACACTATTTTAGGAGGTAAGGGACCCAGGCTCCCCACATGGATCAGCCACTGCACGTGTTACTCGTTCGAACACCCATTCATACATTGCTGTTATTCATCTTTGTATTTTGGACTACAGGATAGGCCAGATTATACTTGAGTACACAAGGCAGACCTCGATTATTTCCTTGCATTTAGACAGACATGTTGAAGACAATGACATCTACGTTGTATTTCGTTAAGAATAACCTTTGATAGATACATATTGGCATACAAATATAAACCCTCTATTTCGTTATCCTTTCCTGTGTTTATTTATCATGAACTGGTTACTTTACCCCTTGTCGAAATTAGCAAATCATATATTTGAAAAAGTTGGTACCATTGTATTTAAACCACTGGATTGGTGACTCTACCGATGGATTTGGGTGCCAAGGTTTCATTCTACCTAAATGTAGCCTTCTGAAATCCAGGTCGAAACCGTTGCTCCAGAAAGCTATTATTAGTGACGGGTAACGCCCACGGGGCAAAATATGTTTACTCTGCCAGAAACACCTGATACCTTCCTACCCGATACTTTCTGACTGAGTGATATATGGAACGTAACATATATTTCAAACTACTTAATCAATTGAATGAATAGAGGAAATAGGAATTGACAGATCCTAGGCGTTTTAGCGCGAACTCTATCAAGTATACAAGCCACGAATTCGACCCCACGAGCATATATACATTTATATACCTTTTGGATTTTCTTATACCACCTTTCCCACCTAATGCTAAAGAGGCCCGTTTAATGAAATACCATAATATTGTCTTGATATGATATAATTGTATATCAAACAACCTCTAGCATAAAAGATCAATGTTGATAAATCCATTCTATAAATACAATAATGTATGTGTTATCTGGGTAACATATTGTTTTCATATATATTATATAGCATAACCTATAAACCAGTTTCTGTGTTTTCAAGGAATTGCATAAAAAAGACGAAGAAGAAGATCAACGAATTATTTTAGATTTACAAATGGATAAATCGGAAGAAGTTATAATGAAAATTGTAAGTCGTTTAATCTTGTGACGGGATCTTGGTCCAGTGGGGATTAGACCATCATAATCCCTTCCCTTTAACGAGAATTCTACAGTCGATGTAGTAATAAGCCAAACACCCCGTATGAAACGGAATTCGTGACATGGAAAAATTAGACCAGAGGGAAAAAGAACTTTTAGAGTAAAACAGCGTCAAAATATAACATTCTAAACATGATTTATACAGGGTATATAAAGTCTTATATCATAATTTATACAACAAATACAAACTCTTATTTCATGATGATTATACAGGAAATATAAAGTTTTCTATCAAGATTTATACAGGGAAAATAAAGTCTAATTTCATAATTTATTCTAGAAATCATGACTGAAAGTTGTGTAAATGGCACATCATTAAACACCCGTTCCAACATTATTACCGCCTAGAAGAGGATAATAATAACGAAATAAATCGGCCTATGAGGCGGTAAACGACAATCCGTTTATACCAATTGGTAAATGTATAACTTTCATGGACTTAATGGCCCACTTTCCAGAATATGCGTATCTTTTTGTATGATGCGTATGTTTTAGGCTCGGTTATTCATAATATCTTGAAATATTTTTTTCTTTTTTTGTTGAATTAGCTCGACGGTCCCTGGGTTTAAAGCCCCCGTGTGCGTGATGGACCTATGTTTCACTAGGGTTAGGATTCGGGTCTTGTAAACTGACACTCTGTATCAAAAGCCCCGCGTTGGCCTTTATATGCCCATAAATGTACCAAACGGTAAAAACAGGTTGCCGTTTACGGTTTACCTCCTTATGGGCCGACTTATTTCGTTATTATAACCCCCTTCTAGGCAGTAGTAATATTTGAACGGGTGCATTTAAACACATCAGTAACTGCTAATGTTGCTTATTTTAAAGAAAGGTGCTAAAATGAGCATGCTGGGGGATAGCACCAGTCAATCTCTACATATCTCTTACATATTGTATCCTTATATTTTATAAAATGTTTACGTATTTTTGGAGACATTACGCCCCTTTTATGCCCTTTCGTTTACTGATGTGTGTCCTGAAAATGAACAATTAGCTATTATTGGCATATTATGATCATTCATTTATCGAACCTACTTTGATTTATAAAGGATAAGTATTCCTAAATATTATGCAGCTCAGAGTTTAAAGTAAGCTGAATTGCGCAGAGATTGGTTATTTAGCACATGTATTTTTCGCGGGGTTATTGTTCAGGTTATTTATTAGAGAATGTATTAGAGTTAATGTCTCTAACATACAAAGCTGGTAAGAATGTTGGAGTTTACGAAAATACAGTTTGTAAATACGTGTAAAACATTAATCAGAGGAGTGATCCCGAAATTAAACATAATATCTTGTCTCCAATATAGAACTAAATTTGTTTATCTGGGCTATAACTCTACTCACTTATTAAGCCTAACTCTACTAAGTTCTATATTCCGAATGTTTTCGTGTTATGTTTAATTGTATGGTAATTGAGGTCCCTAGACACTGTATTTTATTTTTATCCATCATACTTGAAATCCTAAGGTTTTATTTCTCTTACCAGAAATATTTTATGTTATTTTTTTTAAAAAAGAAAGCATTTAGTCTCAATGCAAATAGGAAACCGGAAACTTAAAGGAGTCGCCCAGATCTAATTTGATGAATAACACGCTTACTATTTAAATAAATACAAAAACATAGTATTTTAATGACATATACAGTATATATATATATTGTCGGGGACATCTCACTGTGCCCCCTGCTATTGTTCTCATGGGGGGATTAATCAAGCAAGGGGATTATCGAATACAATGGTGTTAAAAGTATAGTCTGTTTTTTTAAACTACTAGGTTTAAACTAATTAACAACTTTATTCACAATAAATTTCATAAAAGTAACAACAAATACATGTATCAAACATAAATCATAACCCTACTAAATGTGATATGGCGTCAGCATATTCAATTGCACTTTTTACTACATTTAACAGTTTGATTTTTAGATCGTTAATAGATTCTTCTACTCTTTTATATTTTCGTCTTTTAGGGGGCAATCGTCCCCCGTTATCCAATTGAACTATTGTATTTTCAGTAAAAGTCTGCAGGTGCTATTGGGTTTCGTATATTTTACTCTGTACTTATACCCCAAATTAACTAAATTTTGACCTCCTTGAGAATTAGGAATAACCCCTATGCGAACTTGAGCCATTTTAAAAGATATAATGTAATTGGGGTGACAACTATCCTTATAGTTATATAATGATAGTGAGTTTCTAATCATATATTTGATTGATTTATGAGTACTGTCTGAATGAAAGGTAGGTGAATAATATTTAAGATACTCGTTAACCGATGACACGTGAACTTAACTTATATATTTTAATCATTAAAATAATTAAATTTTAACTAGGTGAACAGTACTAATAAGGATACAGTCTATAATCCTTTGTTTACTTAAATTTTCACACCACTACCCTATAACACCAGTTGATTGGGGGGCACAGTGAGATTAAACCATATTGTCTTACTGTAATAATATGATCTTTGCGACCATATTGTATCTTTAACTAAATTATTAGATTCACACTTTTTATATAGAGTCATTTCTCACGCACTCAAATGAAATTGACTGATGTGTTTGTATATAAAAACAGTGATAATTTGGTAAAAACACTGGTTTTGTTCTTTCCATTGTCAAAATATCCATTAAATACTATCTTGTTTATGACATGTGTTTGGTAGAGCAAAAAAGGCAATGTTCTTCTCTCGGTCTTTGGTGTATGGGGATGTTTATTACATATTTGGGAAGGAAATTAACGCCAAGGTCAGTCTATGACGTAAAGAAATTTGGGGGTTTTAAAAGAGGGTGCTCGGCGAAATTCATGAGAGCTCACCCGGTTTGTCAGAACAATCATCAAAAGCTATATATATACTTTATAGAGAACGAGGAACATTGATGCTAAGCCGTTTTAATAATAAAGTTTATAAACCATCTAACCTGTAGTTATATTTACGATCACGAAGAAAACACAACAAAGAAGTCCGGTATTACTACATTAAATAAACCATCTAAATCTCTAAATAAACAACACAATATTAACAATACATGCCAAAAATAACCTATGTTTTTTGATTCGGTGTTTCATTTTATAATATTCCGTATTAAATAAAATGAAACGATAAAGATAAGATTGTAGGTTAACAGAAGTATCTTGTAAACACGATTTGGGTGTATCATGTAAGCATTAAAATGGCTTAATAAATCTCTTTTCACTGATCATAAATTTATATTTTAGTGAGGTAATTAAATCGTTATAATTCTCTTTTAGATGCTGTTCCATGATATTTGTAATGCAAGGTTTCATTTTCTTCTGGGAGAGTTGGTAAGTTTTAAAGACCGTGTTTTAGCTGATCGATACCGTCTCCTCTCTTTTACGCTCGTTTGGATATTAAATTGCTTTTCATCATCATAAAAACCAAGTGGTTGCATTCCTTTTTAAAACAAAATTTCACAAAACGACCCACAAAAGATATAAAATGGTTCGTCAGCTTCTTATTTTTTACATCCATTTGTAACGCAATGGTGTTCAAAAGTCGATAGCCATAATCAAAAATTGATCCTTTCTTTCTCAAAATACAGAATTCGAGGGGAAAACTTGTGATAAAAGAAGATTTAATTCATTATAGGAAATCGATATTCCAAGTTTTTGTGATATATGAAGAATAATAAAATATGATGAACATCTTCTTGTCTCGCGAAAAAGAAATAGGTTATGACCACAATGCCTGTATTTATAGAATAATAATATACCGATTAAAGTATTCATAATCGACTACAAAACTTCCGGTGGCAAAAATTGACAGCAAAAAGACGAAGCAAGATGAAGTCTCAACTCTGAAATCCTAGTTTATACCAACCCCATAAAAAAGCCATCTTATTTGATAAGTTCACATAACTAACAGTCAGGTATCGAGCCAAACTGGGTTCCTAACGAAACCGCTAACCGGATCCAAGTATTGACTATAAGTTATGCTCACCCTTTCTAGAAAATCTGCGCCACCTCTCCTCCGATTTCAGGATTTCACATGGTTTACCAACGTTTTGTATTTAAATATAATAGCGGATCCTAACACCACCTTTCATTTATTTAAGAAATTTACGTTTATCCCAGTTATGTATATTAAAATAGATCAATGAAGGATATTGGTGTTGTAATGTTATACAGCAACATTTATTCCGTTATTACCAACACAACATTTATTTGTTTTTCTACTGAGAATCTTAAATGAAGACCTCACCACGAACTTGGAGAAATAAATACATCAAACTCGCCAGGAAATACCCTGATAACTTCCGTAATCAATGTGTGTTTTTATTTCTCTAGGGGATGTTAGAGATGAATTTGTCTAATTTTGAAATTGGTGGAATTAACATAACGGGTTTCCAGCTGATGGATCCAAAAAATCAGACTGCTGAAATGTTTTTAAATTCCTGGAGTAATTTAGACCCCAAGGAATGGCCTGGAGCAGGCAAGAAATCTATTAAGGTACGACATTTTTGTAAACTAATGTATCTTCCGAATAACTTTTAAATTAAAGCCATTTTCTAAGTAAGATACCAGTGAAGGCGGATTTATTCATGTTGTTGCAGTGAAGATGCATTATAATGTCAGTAGACCTGGCTATTCTGGCGACGCAGCTATACAAAAACAGATTCTAACACCGTTCGTTGCCACACGAGTATACCTCATTAACTGTGTGGGGTTTTAAAGAAAGTTACATAGGAAAACCACTGGCTGTGTTAGGATTTTTTACAAAAGTGACTGAGCAAAACCAAATATACAACCCTGTAATGTTTGTTTGTTTAAAACATCAATCGTTTTAAAAGAAGACGTACATATTTTAAATAGTTTAATATCAAATTCCAATAGCTGCGTAGAGAACGTATATGTTTTGATATCTTCGCTAGACTATCTGTATAAAAACCGCCTTGAAGTCCCATAAAGCAATTTGCATCATTTAAATTAGTGAAATGAAGAAGCCTATTGAATTTCAGAAATTTCAGTCAATTTCTTCTAGAGTTATGGCCCTTTTGAACTCTTTATCGATAAAAGTGATAGAATTTATGATCATCAATTTAATTAGTGAATCGAAGAAACCTATTGAATTCCAGCAATTTCGGTTTATTACTTCTAGAGTTATGGTCCTTATTTTACTTTGTTGAACCTTGTGGGCGCTCTAACGACATAAGTTATCATCCAATTTGTAAACAGTTTATATGTATTATTTAAATTAGTAAGACGAAAAAGCCTGTTAAATTTGAAAGATCTCTGTAAATTACTTCCCGAGTTAGGCCCTTGTTTTAGTTTGTAGAGCCTTTTGCTCAAACGACGAAAATTATAATCTGATCTGTTCGAAATGGTCTTGTAAATGCCCCCCCCCCCACCCCATTACCTACAAAAGAATAAATATGTGACAACCCATGTCGACCACTCGGACGATTTAGCTGCCGTGGGCGTATGTTTCGTTGCCTCGTAACCTATCTCTTAGCTTGTTGTATGTCCATCTCTGCAAAATGTGGGCGTATCTTGCATGGCAACCGCTTGTTTATTCATTGTATTCTCGAGTTCTTTTCTAATTATGTTTTGTCATCCGTTATTAAATGATTAATTTTCAGTGAAGGATGAGAGTTCGTTTTGAAAAACTAAACATACATTTTGTGCAATGATTATTGTGCGTCTTGTTTTTCAGTATGAAGCTGCATTAGCTGTTGATGCCGTTCGTCTTTTTACCAGGTCTTTCAGTGGTATTCTCGGTATAGATCCAAATTTCATTCATCGTCAAACCGGCTCAGCGAACGAAAATAAAGGTATTAAATGTACCGATGATTCGTTGGTGACGAGTCGCCAGGGAGATAAAATAATTAAAGCCATGAAATCAGTAAGTAAACCATCCCCATAGCTAGAGTTTTGAAGTAAAAACATCTCCATAGTGACATCTGATTTTTTCTCTCTATTTAATTAGACAACTCACCAGAAATCCCATTAGCTTTTGTCCCCCGTAGATCATGGTTACACATTCAAGCTGTGTACTGGTTTATAATAAGACATAATATGGTGTACTAATATCTAGAATGAAATAGACATGTCTCAAATAATTAACAAATAATCAACAAAAGCTAGAATTCCCCACCGTAAATAAATATCTCTTGATATATCGATAATCATACAACAATAATCATATATATATAATAAGCCTTCATTTAGTTTACCACATTTATAGTCACTATTAAACGATCATGTTGTATTTAGCAAGTCGTAGCCATATAATGTGCAAAAAAGCTGGAAAGGTAAAATACAAGCGGATATTACATCCGGGTATTTTTAAGTGCAAAATTGGTCATGTGTCCATGGTTTGCCATTAGTCGCGTTAATCCAGTCTACTGACCGTTCTCCTGCTTATAGACATGCCTGGATAATCATACGAAACATTACAGAAAGCTGGAATAAGAAATCTAATTTAATAACACATGAGTTAGGCAACTCAACGATTGTTACTTCTACTAGTATTCTATTCTTGACTAAGACGCTTGTTTCGGACATTGGATTACTACTAAACCAAAATATGCCGCTCCTAACAGCACTGTTAATAAACCGAATTGATAAAAAAAATGAAAATGAACGTAATTTTCTAAATCTTTTGTAACAACCAACTAGCTACATATTACTGTAATTCAGAATTGTTAACACTAGATTTTGTACGTACTCCGTCTCACTTGAGCAATTGTCATTTGAGCTTGAACATTCGCGGAAGTAAGTTCCTCCATTAATAGTTCAAATTTTGACTGCGTGGCACAAGCAACAATCATCTGATCTGAAAAGTAACCGTTCGTGGAAAGTAATATTTCAGAAATGCACCAACTCAGATTTCATTAATAACTAATCTGAAGTCGTCTCAAATCGGAACTCAAATTTCTGTAGATTGATCATTGGTCAAAATATCCGTGGTAACAAGATCATTTTGGAAGTAAAAAACATTAGGCTACTAAAATTTTGAAGCTAAAAGTTGTAACAATGGCATATACAACTGATTTCCGGTGACCGATCATAATGATACCTTCATATTAATCAAATAGATATATATAGCTATTGTGATTCATTTATTCTGTATGCAGCCCTTGCCCATAAATACTCTTTCGCTTAACTTGTTAAAACCAAATAATATGAAATTTTGGGGTTTTGTGACTCTTGTCGGTGTAAATCAAATTTTTGTCACCAGTCCTATTGATACAAATGTTGTAAGATTAGAAAACAATACTTATCAAACAGAGATAGTTATCAGCGATTGTCATACTATACTAAAGCGGGCGCTAAACCCAGTTGGCCGGTCAGTAGGGTCATGGCGAAGTTAAAGACGGGATCCTAACACTACAACTTGTAAACTTGGGTCCGATCATATAATATGGTAAATTGTTGAAACCTATTTCATCAGAATCTGACCATTTCTGCAAATAAAAATGTACGGATAATCCAAACATCAGCTACGGTCATTTTAATACTGAAAAATAAAATCATTCATTGACAGATCTTACGAAAATGTATCAACAAAATGTCTTGAGATAAAGCACTCCTAACTAACCTACACAGCGTTTTGTTTGCATTTTGATACAACTTCTTATCAACTAATTGACCAGGCTCGGAATAGTTCTGTGACATAAGCACGGCGTTTGACGGGGTATAAAGGAAGCAATCGTCGTTGTAAGTGGAGTTTTCTCTGGTCCCAAGAGCGTTTCCTTCTTGTGTTTCTCTTTCTTGTGTGTCCAAATTTATTGTGGGTAAAAAGAATCTCATGTGTTTAACAATTGTAACATAAATGCTAGCCTGACGGGGTATAAAGGAAGCAATCGTCGTTGTAAGGGGAGTTTTCACTGATCACAAAGCGTTTCCTTCTTGTGTTTCTCTTTCTTATGTGTCTAAATTTATTGTAGGTAAAATGAATCTCATGTGTTTCACAATTGTTACATAAACTCTAATCTCATCCTCAAATAATCTAATATTAATGGTATCTATATTTATATATGTTAGTCTATAAATGTATGTCATCTATTCTTCCGAATTTAGATAATAATGACGTAATATGGTATTTTTCTATTTTGTTTAATGAGTTTAAATTTATTGTTGTGTTTCCATATGTCACTCTTATTAAATATCATGTTCCTAAAGCAACGACTGTGAGTTTTACAACATCTGGATGTTGCTAGATAACTTCACAATTCCCAAACTTATAGCTACGTTATCTAGAGACGCATGAACAGTAGCGTCCTTGAACTTTGTAACTCGATTATCGCGACGATCGTGGAATCTGATAGGCTCGCAAGCTGTACTTGTAACCAATTGAGATAAGTGCCGAAATATGCAGGGTATTACGTGAAGGGCTTGATAAGATGTACGTAGTTAAAGCGAGATCAAGCCTTCTATTGAGGATGATTAAATATATAAATTTTTTTTCTTATACGTCCACATTCATATGCGTGTGTGATGGTGTGTGTGTGTGTGTGTCCCTCCGTATGTGTGTCGTGAAACTTTACATACTTATTCATTATACCCCAAGGAGGATCCCTATTGTTTTTGGGGCATGCTCGACCCCCAGAGGCAGAGCCACGCCCATTTTGTGTATTTGTTTGTTTGTCGTCTACAGGTCGCATTTCTTAACAGATCCACTTGAAACTTTGCATGCTTATTTATTTCTTATACACTAAGGAATACAACACAATTATTGTTTTTGGTGCCTGCCCCCCCCCCCCCCCGGAGAAGGGCCAGGCCCATTTTCTTTTTGTGAGTCTCTGTCGTCTACATAATCGATAGTCTTGAAAACTTTTGATACTGATTACTTATACCCTATTGATTTTGGTGCATGCCTCCCCCCCCCCCACCGTTTGTGAATATTTAGTCTGTACATAATCTACAAGTTGCAATTATTAATAAATTTGGATCCAATTTGGCATGATTCATCATAGGGTTGTACCTATTTATATTGGATTGGTCCATTTCCAATCCCCTAGGGGCAGAGCCACGCCAAATTTTTTGTGTTTTTTGTCCATATTCTGGAATTCTGAAGGGATCATCTTTGAACTTGGCATATTTATTCCTTATACCAGAAGGATAGCAACTATTTATTTTGGTGCATGCCTCGCCCCCCCCCCCCCCAGGGGTGGTGTCACGCACACTTTTTTCTTAATGTTTTGTCTTTAAATACTCTACAGATTGCAATTATGAACAGCTTTTGTTCAAATTCGGCATATCAATCATTCCAATAACAGGGCTGTATCTATTTATATTGTTCTATCTCCAACCCCCAGGGGCAGAGCCACGCCCAAATTTTGTGTTTATCGTCTACAGACTGCAACTCTGAATGGATCATCTTGGAACTTGACATATTTATTCCTTATACCGTAAAGACAGCAACTATTTATTATTTTGGTGCATGCCCCGACCCACTGGGGCGGTGTCACTCTCGTTTTTTGTTAATTAGTCTGTAACTTTTGGCAAATCAAACCCAGCACCTAGCCTTCTTTGCCTCTTGTCATATCACAGTCGTTGCATCCATTTCATATTTCATTCTCTATCATATCAATCAAAATCAAAGCAGGAATGTGGACGTATATTGCAGCGGTAGCGATGCTCATGTTTTTGTTTTGAGGAGAGTTTAGAAATAAATTATTTCAAGAAACAGATCATTGTTGAATTACCCCAAAATAAAATGCACGTAAAGCGGAAATCGCTCTGTTTACCGATTTCAATTCTGGTTTAGATCTAAAATGTTGACGGTTGAAAAATTTGATGATTACATTTTAACAATGACTCTGTCTTTCAACAGGTTAATTTTGAAGGTGTAACGGGTAGAGTGGCATTTGATGAAAATGGTCACAGGAAAGATTTTACATTGGGTGTTTATGATGTGGGAATGAATAGAGGTACAGCAAAGGTAAACAATGTAATATTTAATTTAAAGGAGGCTAAATCTCTTTGACGGTTATCATTATCCAACTTGGTTAAGAAAAGTGGAGCCACTGTGACTCACTAAGTAAGGGACTGGCTCTCTAACCAGGACATTGTGTGTTAGATCGAGGTGTTGGCTGAGAAAACTCCTCGGGATGTTTCAGTGTGATTTGTAGGACGGAGGATCTGTCAAGTTGCAGCGTCTAGTCCTTCGGTGGGTCCAAACACCGAGTTCCGGTGAAAGAGGGGAAATATGCCCGTCTACATTATCCCGGTTGATGCAGCAAATTATAACGTTAAACCCGTTTCATTTCATTCCACTTTGCAGAAAGGTAGGAAACTAAACCCAATTCCATTTCAGATCTTTTAGATTTAGGTCAAAATAAATTGGGTTGATGTGTTATTCCATTAGTGGACGATTCAACTAAAAGCCAGTCTGTTTAGTTTAATTTAATCCTCACCTTACCAAGCCGACACAGAATCGGTTATTTTTCACGTAACTTTTCAACCCAAACAGATTGCCATTCCAGAAAACGTATCGAGACACAATATACTATTTCATTTTTGGTCCAAAATATAGAGCTGTAGCCATTTTGCAGTATTGTCTAGTTGTTTTTATATTTTTCAAAGCTTTTCAAGTAAAATGAAAAGAAAAGGAATATTTCTCGTAATGTAAATATCTATTTTATCCAAGTTTCATTTTTATCTATTTGTGAGAATACATAATCCACTGTAATAATATTTTCATTTCTATGTCCCAGATTGGATACTGGAACAAAAACGAAGGATTCATGATACAACAAGCCAGGTTGTGGCGAGAATTTGTTCATTCGCCAAATCAGAACAGAACCAGAATCGTGACAACAATACAGGTACCATAGCAACTCCATCTTAAATTCCATTCCAATTTACATTCCAACCAAATCTGATGAAAATATTATTATTATTGAAATTTAGCCAGCCTCTCTAGCAAGTAGATGTAGCCGTGCTTTGGTAGGAGTGACGTAATATGACATTTTTTGGTGGACGTGGGCACTCTGACATCGACGAGTAATGTAAACAATCAGTTTCACTTGAATGGAGGTCAACTCAACAGACAATGTCATTGGTTACTGTCTTGGATCAAATTGAATTCGTAGACTACAGATAACTATGAAAAGAAATAGGATCCATATTTTAAAAAAGTGTTCATTCCATGTAAAATGTAGTATTTTAGGCATACTAGATTACCCTTTCTAAAGATAATCTTCTAACTTACTTCTAATCGATCGCTGGAATAAATATATAGACCTTCTGGCATCCAATAGAAACTGTACCAAGAAGATTTGTAACAGTGGTTAATTTTGTCGACTACATATAAACAGCGCATCCGATTACTTAATGCATGTTCCAGTTTTGAATTTCAACATATATATCTTATTAGCATTCACGATATTTTAATTTTTATTTTAATAGTCTTTCAAAGTCTTTATATAGTCTCTATTGGACGCCAGTATAGATATGTTCTCGGTATTTGTCTTAGAGATACTATATGACAAAATATTGATTTTAAATTCAGGACGTCATTCTTTTTAATGTTTTATTTTGGTGTCTTGTCATTTTTCATTTTACATCTAAACATTTTAACGCATTTGTCTAGAACAGCATTAAATACTGACATTTTATCAAAACCGCCTATAACATTCAAATGTCCCAGCCAATTCAAACCCATCACAAAATACAGATGGATGCTGGGGATTATACGTGATCAAATACGACACTTTCAAAAGGTCTTCAGCAATTTTTCTTTCTTGTCATTATTTATCATAAGAGTGTAATATTAAATATTTATGACAAGTAAAATATCTATGGGGTGCTTGAAGTTAATAACATGTATGAGAACACACAATCCTTTTGTTAATAATTATTGTATGACAACACTCGAGACAATATCAATCAAATATCCTGCACTTTTGACGCAACCAAGAACACCTCATAGCCCCTACTTCATAATTTATCATTCTTTTTATAAACAGTGCCTTTTATAAATAAAAATTAGAAAATCAATATTCAAATATAAAATTTGAAATTTAAATTTGTGTGTAGGTAAAACCATACGTAATGTTTAAGAAAGAACCAGAGCTTGGAGAACCTATGGTATCAAAGAATAACCTAGAAGGTTATTGTATTGATTTAGCTGAGGCTGTCGCCAGGGAAGTTGGCTTTGATTACATCATTAAATTTGTGGATGATAATAAATATGGTGCTAAAACAGACAATTTAACCTGGAATGGTATGGTCGGTGAACTCATTAAACATGTAAGTATCTATATCAATAAATATTCTGTTTGTAAACATCACGTGATCTGTATTCATCCGCCAGTAAACCCTTGCAAATTACCAAATATAAAAGTACAACAGAAGACATACTCTCAAAAGGTTTTCTTCCTTATACACAATATTCCCTTCAATTAAATACTTTATGAAAATAAGTGGAAGCTGCAAAATTATAACTTGGAATTGCGATCTTTAAATTAACATTAAATTACCCAAAAAGGATTCATCTTCTCAATATAGGCAAATAATATATCTTCCGATTCTTTATGAATTTAAAGACTTGGGGTACATGCACCCCATCGCCTCATAGTCCTTTAAGTTATGCAAACTACATTAACCAATTTTAAAGAAATTTATCTTATTCATGTGCATATTAAAATCACTGTGAAATCTGAAACGTCTCCTTTAACACCATCATATTTTATAGTTGTATTGGTGAACTCGATTCGTATAGCTTGTATAAAAGTAACACATACGTTAAATTAAAATACGAGTAACGTCAGTTAAAGTCAAGTAATGACGTTTGCAAGACCCATTTTATCATTATAGAACACAATGATTTTAACTGTGGGGATGAGACAGAAGACTATTTTATTTATATCTTGTGCACATATTCGTTATCTCACCAAACCAAAATAAAAAATCTAATTACTACATCAGATGGACGAACAGTTTCAGTTTGAAAATTATTAATTAAAGGGGCATTGTGTAAGATTAGATAAAGAGCTGACAGTTTTCGCTATAATAGTTAAAAGGTAGATAATGAAAAAAAGAAAATATGCTAATAATTTTAGTCAAATTGCTTCAGTCTGAACCAAGATATTAGCCATTTAATTTTAGGCTAGCCTCGATCGCCATTACTACCGCTGGTACGATAATAAAGAAAGTCATAATTATGCATTTTTACGGTTATTTCATCGATCACAAAACGTATTCAAATCCACTAAACATCGCAGGCTTCCGATGGCATCGGGGTTGATTATGGTCTTGGTAAGTTAATTAATGTCTAATTAATAATAACATTTAAGGCCTGAAGAAAGACCTGCAATAGGCATATTTAGATCTTGCATAATGCTTGTTTAATCGCCAATTCACACACATTAATTAGTTGTGTAATAAAAACATGCGACCTCAGAGCAAAACCAAATTGGATGGTCTTAAACATTTTCTCTGCTCTCTTTACGAGGCGCGTAATGTTATAAAGTAACTCTCGGTCAGAATAACAACTCTAATTATTCTATTATAAACAAATGCTAAAATTGGATTAAAGGTAGTTTCCACCGAGGCAATTTGTATAAAAGGTATTCCACTGCGTCCGCAGTTTCCTTTGCTTTGACTCCTATATGTTACTTTGGATTTTCTATTCCAATGATTCACCCTGTTTGTGGTTCAATTTCTGTAAAATTACTAGACCCAATTATTTTACGTGTTTGACTGCTTTCCAATCGATATCGAAGGAAATCTCTAGCTTAATATTTAATAAAAAGCCAACAGTAGTACTTTACAAACATGAACCTTTGTTTACCTTCTTAATGCAAAACACGTTATCCCAGTGATGTACTAATTGAAACAAGGTTACGTGCATAACGATTGTCTGGCTAAGTTAAGTAATCACATATACATATACCAGCGTGGATCGATAGTTATTGGAATTAGAGAAGAGATTAGACTCCTAATTCGTCTGCAATTCACCAGCAGATCACCTCACCTCCCGCCGTTCCACAATAATCAGAGAGAAACTCCATGACATTCAGCTAATATATCGAGATTTAAATTGAGTGAGTGCCACTGGTTTGGAATTACAAATGTAACTTTCAACCCCTTAGAATTATTTTCCCCCGCACTTAAAGGGTTTTATAACAAATTAGGCCATCGTATTAGACAGATCAATAATGTCATTTAATAGCCAATCTTTTCTTTAAAATAAAGAAATCAACCAGAATTGTACCATTTATAAGCCAGCGTCTACCAACAAGCTATAGTCTCTAGCATGTTTCGTTGCGATTGCGTTTTCTCTGTTTATGTTTCTCAGATGCACATCACAGTAGAAAGTGTGAAATTGATTCACAGAATTTAATCTACTTTAAAAAGATATCCCTTTCCGGTTTGACCAAAAATAGAAAAATTGTAATTTTCTCGGTTTACATAACTTCTCGACAAGGACAATATTATCAACGTAATGTGCAATGAAATCTTTTATTAATAATGCTCAAACCCATCTGCATGTGCATTTAAAGAATAGCCATGGGCTATGATTAGTTTGAATATACCGTGACAGATTGAATGTGAATACAAATCATCTGTGGTTCACTGCAGGATTCATGGAGAAATACCTTCTTGTATACAGTCTTTGATCAAAGATTGCATCACAAGGTTTACATTTTTAAATTGTAGGATATTTTTGTCTCTAGCCAATATAAAATAGATATTAATGTTATATTTCATTCAATCAGCTTTAATGAATGAATGAAATGGGGTTTAACGTCCTACTTTTCTGCTCAAATAGAGCTAATGAAGACACCCAATCAACTTTAGATGCATATCATTCATATATATCCCAAAAGTACAAAATATTTACTATTTTAATTTAAATACTGTTGTTATATAATTTAGTACACAGCAGCTAAATACTTTAACTATTGCTAGTAATTGGCTGGGAATAATGTATCTATGAATTGTCCATTTCAGAAAGCAGACATGGCCATTGCTCCTCTCACTATCACGGCTGCCAGAGAAAGAGTCATCGACTTCACCAAACCGTTCATGAGTCTCGGTATCAGCATCATGATTAAAAAACCCGAAAACCAAAAAGCTCACGTTTTTTCATTCATGGACCCATTGTCATATGAGATATGGATGTGTATAGTGTTTGCATATATAGGTGTTAGTGTTGTGTTATTTTTAGTTAGTCGATTCAGTCCCAACGAATGGCATTTAAGTGAGGACTCCTCTATTACAAATGATTTTACAATCTCAAACAGTCTGTGGTTTTCTCTTGGAGCCTTTATGCAACAAGGATGCGATGTGTCGCCAAGGTTTGTATTCTATTGAAAGATTTTACTCATTTCTAAGGTGAAAATGTAGCTTTAGTTCATAAGATATGCCATAGAGCCAATTGATTGTATTGTACTCTCTCTCTCCCCATATGTATATTTCGTACTGTTTTACACAACAAAACATTAACTAACAATGTTTGAAATCTTAACCGTCCGATATTATGAGTTACGGTGTCGCTATGACATTACATTTAATGAAATAATATCTCGACATTAGACAGAATATATGAATATTGGATAAAAGAATTATAAATTATTGTGGAATTATTCAGTTTGTACACGGCTTAATTTATTTATAGATCGATGTCTGGGCGAATCGTTGGAAGTGTGTGGTGGTTTTTTACTCTAATTATCATATCGTCATACACCGCTAACCTTGCCGCCTTTTTAACAGTAGAACGCATGTTAACACCTATAGAATCAGCTGAAGATTTAGCTAAACAAACAGATATACAATATGGTACAACAAAATCGGGCAGTACAGAAGCGTTCTTTAAGGTATAATCAAATGAACATTACTGAAATATATCGTATCTCATTATACAATAGCGATCTAAACGTGTACGGCCATATCTTCGCAACAAGCGTTTGTTTTCTTATTATCTTAAAGGTAAAATTAGGCTACGAGACGATTAATTTGCTACCAGTGCCCCAAAACATGCTCTAAACATCTTTACAATCTGGTACCCCTTCCAACCTTGTACGTCGAAAAAACTTCCCCATCCCCGTTCTGTTTTTGATAATACTCTACAATTAGATTTCCGACTATGATCGTTGGTAATTACCCAGTGTATTTCTATATTTACAGCATTCTAAAGTCGATATGTATCATAGAATGTGGTCGTATATGACATCAGCGACACCGTCAGTATTTGTTGATAAAATAGAAGACGGTATTAGAAAAGTGCGAGATGCTAATGGAAAATATGCTTTTCTAATTGAGTCTACTACAAACGAATATTATAATCAACGTGAACCATGTGATACAATGAAAGTTGGTAATAATTTGAACTCTAATGGTTTTGGTATTGCTACGCCTATTGGGTCTGATCTCAAGTAAGTACCCCTTTGACCTTTTAATAAAACTATATACACGCATAATTGTATGATCTATTTATTTTTGGACGTATCAGCTGGTAATCACAGAGACCTATCTCCCTTCCATATCTTTTAGCTTTTTGTTCAGAGTACCATGTTGTCAATATTATGGGGAATTACAGTGCCCAAAATTCCGGTAATACATAATATAATTATATACTTTGTTGTCTCCCGCCTTTCGAAGAAAGCAGGGGACTATTAAAATGGGTTCGTCCGTCTGTCTGTCCGTCTATCTCGTTGTTGTCCGTCTGTCTGTCTGTCCGTCACACTTTTTTGAACACAATAACTCTCCTTCTAATTGAGCTAGAATGTTCAATCTCGGTGTAATTGTTTATTATGTCAATGCCTTGATGGAGTTCGAAGATGAGCATTTTCTGCTTAGGTTAAGCAGAGATAAGCAATTATGATTGTTTGATGCTTTGGGACACGCTAACTTTAGTTCTAATTAAGCGGGAGTGATGAAACCTGGTGTATAGTTTCATGACACCAATACCTTGACTAAGTTCGATAATGAGCTTTTTCTGCTCAGGGTAAGCAGAGCGATAAGCAATTTGATTGGCCGAAACTTTGGAACACAATAACTCTCCTAATTGTGCTAGCACGTTCAAACTACGTGCAGGTGTTTATTAGGTCAATGTCTTGATGAAGTTCGAAGACGAACATTTTATGCTTAGGGTAAGCAGATATAAGCAATTTGATTGGTTGATGCTTTGGGCACGATAAATTTAGTTCTAATTAAGTGAGAGTGATGAAATCTGGTGTATAGTTTTATTACATCAATACCTTGACTAAGTTCGATAATGAGCATTTTCTGCTCAGGGTAAGCAGGGCGGTAAGCAGTTTGATTGGTCGGGACTTTGGAACACAATAACTCTCATTCTAATCGAGCTAGAATGTCCACACTTGGCGTAGGTGTTTATGAGGCGAATGCCTTGATGGTGCAGTTCGCAGATAAGCAATTTGATTGGTTGATGCTTTGGTACACGATAACTTTAGTTCTATTTAAGTGAGAGTGAGGACAATTGTGGTATAGTTTTATCACATCAATACCTTGACGAAGTTCGATAAAGTGCATCTTCTGCTCAGGGTAAGCAGAGCCATAAGCAATTTGATTGGTCGAGACTTTGGAACACAATAACTCTCCTTCTAATTGAGGTAGAATATTTAAACTTGGTGTAGGCGTTCATTAGGTAAATGCCTTGATGTAATTCGATGATAAACATTGTCTGCTTACGGTAAGCAGAGATAAGCAATCTGATTGTTTGATGCTTTGGGGCACGATAATGCTTTGGGGCACGATAACTTTGGTTTTAATTAAGTGACAGTGATGGAACTCCGAGTATAGATTCATTATATCATTACCTTAACTAATTTCGATGATGAGAATTTTCAGCTTAGGCTAAGGAGCGATAAGCAGTTTGATTGTTCAAGACTTTGGAACTTAACAACTCTGCTTTTAATTGATGTAGAATGTTTAAACTTGATGTAGATGTTCATTAGGTGAATCTCTTGACGAGTTTAATGATTAACATTTCGAGCTAAAGCTAAGCAGAGCTAAGCAATTTTATTGGTCGATGCTTTGGGACAAGATAACTGTGATTCTGTCTGATAGAAAATAGTGATGAAACTTAGTGTATAGTTGATAATCAGTTTGATTGATGGATACTTTTGAAAAAAAAAATTAATAAAATTACATAACCCCAAATAAATACTATTTCTTTCATATATACATTTTAGAGACAAATTAAATTTTGCTGTGTTAGAGTTGAGAGAATCTGGTCAGTTGGCTCACTGGCAGAAGAAATGGTGGCTAGATGCTGGTACATGTCCTCCTCAGAAAACATCAAAGGTAAAAAAGTTTAATATAAAGCAATCAGCATTAAGCATGGTGAACCATGTTGCTTTATTTTAAGTTACATCAGTGCGGGTTAATTTTGTGTCGTTATGATTGTAAACCTCTGCTCATTTTATTAAACCTTAATATACAACCATTAAAGATACAGTGCAGTCTATCACAACATAGAACAGACAGGGCCGCGCGGACACCCCAATTGATCAAAGTTAGTCGTGCTTTGGGCTATACGTGACTCACCTACACAATGTCACGATTTAAATTCGCGAATACTTTGCATAACTTACTAATAAACTCTGTTACAGGATGGTGCACAGAGTGCTCTTTCCTTGGATAATGTTGCTGGTATATTCTTCATTCTGATTGGTGGATTAGTCCTAGCTTTAATTACTGCGGGATTAGAATTTTTGTATAAATCCAAGATGGATTCCAGGAGGTATAAGGTATATTAAGTTTCACGCTTTATTATTTTTTTTTTCTTTTAAATACTTAAATGGCCAATGTCCTTTTATTTTTTATTTATTTGTTTTTAATATTTACTATTCTTAACTATAGTCCTTCAGATTGCATCTGCTAGCTTGCAGACATGTTTAAAAAAGAATGAACAACATGGTTACATTCTTTCTTTTTTCAGAAACATTATGATTTCGCTTTTTTACGGTTTGCATGTGATTTAATTATTTTACCCAATGATTTTTTTTAAAGAAACCCAAAGCAAACTATTTTAGCTTCGCAAACATAATTAGTTTACTTACCTACATCTTTGAAACAAAATCCGTTGACTGAAAAGGCATACTTTTGATAATTAAGGATCTTGTTTTATTTATTTTTTTAAAAAAAGGGTTAACGGGTTTCATTACTTTAAAATAGCGTATCTATGTGCATTTTAAATTGCTCACAGTTTGCTATTTAAATTGTTATTTTATGGTTATTACTGACTGCATTTATAGTAAACATTATGTTAAAGAAATGATCAGTTGATGACAAATGTTATTCTGGTAAAGGCATGCTCAACAGCATTTTATTCGCGGTTTAAACGAATGTGGTTGAAAGCCTCATCCCATCCGAATGACTAGGCAAACTTTCCTTGACAGCTCCACAGGTGCCATCCCTGACAAGTGAAGACCCGGCATATTCTAGTCCATTTCCACTTACCCAGTGGTGAGATAGTAATTCAACAGCGAAATGGTTCATCCAAAGCGAGATAACCAGAAGGGCGATATTCAAAGATCGTTTAGTGCATAGACTAAAAGAAAAATGGCCTCTTTATTGCAGTTTAAAATGATATTTTTTTAAAAGTAGAATGGGCACACTTTATAAAAATACTTTCGATTGCATAGGCGATCCCTGCATTCACCCACCTTCGACTATAACCCACAATACCACCTACACTCAACAATTTATGAAAATTGTTGGCATTCCTTATTATACTATTACGCCAAACGAATATTTAGCGTTTTGGTTCTGTACAGAAAGTACTTTCAAAGTGCAATCTTCAAATTAGTTGATTAATTGGGTTTTTTTCTTGTAGACAACATTCGGTTCAGCAATACGTTCGAAAGCTAGGTTGTCATTCCGAGGCCATGCCGACGGCAGTGAACCGAGTACAACTCGTATGAGGAAATCTATGTCCACGGTAAGTAAATAAGTTTATTAAACATTAAAGTTAATTTAATTCTTGGCTTCATATGGATTATTTTCTTCGTATTAGTTTGAAATATAATCAGAAATATGAATTACTCCCTACATTTTATTCAAAGGCTAATCGCGTCTTATTAATGTAGTGCATATATTTTCTTTTTCATATATTACGTCAGCCCGGTCAAATGTTTCTGCAGTTAGGTAAAAATAAAGTATTGAATTGACTTGACTTTATCTCGTTAAAGAATTGTTTCAAAAGATTAAGCGGAAGTCTGATAACTTTCAGTTTCATATTTGACTTATTGTGTCTACAATTGAACACAAACTGCTCTATATTGCAACATTGGCTGTATAAGGAAACGTATTGGGACCAAATATATAATTGAAAAATTCTTAATAAGCCCACAGCGCTTATCTGAAAAGAAACTCGAATATAGACCAAATTTGAAAAGGGCCCTGTATACATGTTGGATATCTGATCTCTATCTTGTTCACTAGCTTGAAAATCCGTTAAAACTGTAGTCTCTATCGGTGTGGGGGTAACTCACAATAAAAGGTCGCGAAATGCTGTATATTGATATGATTTGTCTCCTTATCAATGCTTTATACAAAATTGGAAAAATATCACTTATAAACTGTAGCTTCTATAGGGGTGTAACTCTGTAGGGGAGGGTTGTGGAACGTTAAATATCAGTTGCGGTTTTCCTCACAGGATCCCATGATTCAAACCAATTTGAAACAAATCCGTTAAAAACTGTAAGGTTTTCGGAAAATATACTGTGACTTTGGGAAGGAAGGTTGCGGAACGCTAAATATCGACGTGGTTCGTCCGCTCTTGGCCCCAAATGTAGCTTCTGTCGTGTCCACGGGTCTTTGCAAAAGGGGTTAACCCCGGAACGGAAGGTCGAGAACGGTGAATATTGATAGGTTTCCACTTCCATGACCTCCATGCTTCAAATCATATTTGAAAAAAAAAATCAATTAAAAACTGTGGTCTCTATCGCGTTCAAAATGTTTTCGGCAAAGAGGGTGGATTAGGCGTGGTAACTCCAAACCGAAAGGTTACGTAATGCTGAATATAATCGATAGGCTTCGTTCTCGCACGACTCCAGTAAGTGATAATTGAAAAGAAAATCGGCTGGCTAAAACTAGCCTATATCGCATTCACTCGTAAATAGGTCTCGGAACGCTGAATGACCTCAGTGCTTCACACCAAATTTGAAAAATATTCCGTTAATAAATGTAGCCTGTATCTCTGAATGCTTAAAGATTAGCCTCTATCGCGTTCACAAGCTTTTCGGCAAAGGAAGGTGGTGGGGTAATTGAGGAATAGACAGTTCTAATTAGGAGAATTTTTTATTTATTTATTTGGCCCAAATACGTTTTCATAGCGTGATCTATATACGTAACTTTTTTATATTCCCACATTTTCACGGGGACGTATTATGCCGTCCATCCGTCCACAATTTGTTTGTGGCCACTCTACAAGTCACAATTTTTATCCGATTTTGATGAAACTTGAAATATAGGTTTATCTCCTTTCGATATTGGCATGGATTATGGCCCTTGATTGTTCGAAAAATCACGTTTTTAGCTTGTGGACATCTAGAGGTCACCAATTTCATCTGATTTAGATAAAACTTTAAATTTATGTTTATATCACAAGGATCTTGGTTCCTTTCGATAATCGCGCATATCCGAACGTAATTTCCTGGATTATGGCCCCTGATTGTTCGAAAAATCGAAATTTTAGCTTGTGGACCCGCTAGAAGTCACAATTTGTATTGCATTTTTAAAAAACGTTTAAATGTATCACTGTTACACCCTAATGACGGTTGAGTTCGAATTTCGTAAAAATCTGACCCAAACTGCCGGACTAAATGGCCGCTCCTTGCATGCAAATAGTGTAAAAGTATGTAATACCAAGATTGCGGACCCTCTAGAAGTCACAATTTTCATCCGATTTTGATGAAACTTAACATATATCTTTATATCCCAGATATCTCAGTCCCTTTCGATATTCGCGAATTTCAGACCATAAGTTCCTGATTTATGGCTCCTGAGTGTACGAAAAATGTGAGGATATCTTGCCTGGCAACCGTTGGTTAGCAAAAACAGATTGTCAACTCACGAAATACATCAACAAACAATGTCCAATGAAAACGATAACTTTATGTTTGACCTAATTTAAATTATAAATTCTTAAGGAACAAAAAACAATCGGTTTATTTATTTCATTAAATGTTTTTGTGATCTTATTTGTTTCAGTACACGTATACAGGTCCATCACAAGTGGTAGGAGTTGATGCATATAGCGAAGCTAATACACACACACAAGTATAATACGTCATCTTAATTTTATCTCTTTATCAAATTCAAAATGTCGTATTTCAATTTTTGAGTGTCGGGGGTGGGGGTCTCAAGCTTGCATATTGCAGTGGGTTGCGGCGCTTGTGGGGTTCCCCCCGCCCCCTTCCCATTTCGAAGTATTGAAATAAAGTTCATTCAAAGATGATCTAGTTTATGTTGAATCTAGAACATTCGTTTTATTTGGAAATCAATTTTATACGAAATTAATTCAATGTGTAAGTAGTATAAATAATTACAATTTCTGTCAAACGATTAATGAAGTAGACCCGTAGAAAAATATTATTTAGAATGGAGCACAAAAAAAAAATTAGTTGATATGATTTCACGAGAAGATAGGTAAACAGGATATTTCGCATTTGTCATGTAAATAAATATAGATAATGTAATATAGATATATCTTACCTTCATATATTACACCTGGTAAAGCTAATACATATACGCCAAGCTGACCGTTTTCCCTGATTATGATAATTGCACAATGCGTGGCTCAACATGCACAGCTTGGGTTATTCGTTCATTCAATGCCGTGCTGGTTAAAATTTCGTTTCGTTTTATTTTTTTTGATTTTGTACTCCATTGACAGCGTTTAGTAAAAATCAGAAAAAATAAACGAAACGAAATCTAGTTTTAATTACACGATTCAATGCTGAATAATTTTCTATGTAAATCACTTTAATGATTCAATGATATGTAATATTATAATTGTTTAATTGATAAAATTAATACATCCTGTCCAATAAACAGGCTTCATTGTAACAATTGTTTGACGTTTGTATATGACTGCTAATGTTTACTCGTGTTGTTTACAGTTTCCGTCATACATTTTATTATAAATAAAATCAATTTTAACATGAATGTTAATTATTCTGGGTATTTTATTCGTGTTTTCTATTATATTAATACTATTGTTTTAGAGTATTTTAATAGTGTATCTCGTCATAATATCTATGTAAATATTTCTTCTTCTAGTTCGTTTCTAATAAAATTCATCATTAACTTCATTACAGTTACTTGTGAGAGTTACGTTTCTTTGTTTAACTCGTTGATCAAAATTGGTCCCAATGTAAATAGATGCACCAAATATTGAAGGGGTTGAACGCTTTCTACAACAGATGGTAGGATGACCCGTGCACTCTACAGAAAGTTGGTCTCGACACGGCTAAATGTGCACGCTTCAGTTGCGTGTCTCGAACTGATTTCTGACTACCCCGCACTCTCTTTGAGTCGATAAATAGCCATGCACGTGCAATTCTCTACAAATATATCAACTATTACAGCCGTAAAAAATCTATTGTTGACGATTTTGAATAGCAGTAAAATTTAGCTTCTTGGTTATTACAACAGCTTTAGAAATTACGTTTGTTTTATTTTTTAAATTGCTTTATCATTAACTGTACCGTTAAGAGCGGCATCTTTTGGTTTAGTACAAATAATATCTCTGAAACACTCGGGTTAGACAGGAACGTGATACTAGCAGTAGTTTCATTTTACTTTTACAAGTTTCTTAAAACAATTGTTGAGTTGTCTAAAGTGCTTTTTTCTAAATTCAATTTCTTGTTCTAGCTTTCTGTTATGTTTCGTAAAAAAGTAGTCTTGATTATCCCGACCTGTCAATCAGACGTAGAATGATCGATAGACTGGTTAAGCGAGACTAATTTCAAAACAAGGGCACGTAACCTATCTTGTACTCAAAAATGACTGGATGTTATGGACGACACTTGGAACCAGTTTTCAGTCTATTATTTCTACATGATTAATGGTCATAGCTTATTAAGTACAACATGATCGTTTATTTAGTGACTATAATTGTGTGAAACTGATTTGAGGCTTGGTATATATATAAATATTGTGGCGTAATTGTCGAGATATCTGGAGATATTTATTTATGGTGGGTCACCCTACAGATGGGCCAACATGTGACAACCTCTTGTTCACAAATTCACCATGGAAATCTTGAGACACACAAACTGGAAGTAGCATAGTAAACATGCAACTGTCAGTCCTACATTTCAACGTAAACCAGCCTCTTCACTCTCTTATTCTTCCGACTTAAAATCATGTATATTCACCAAAGCATGGTAGAAAATGTATATTCAAACCCCTTTTCTCTGATTTTACACCAAAAAGTCAAGAAAAATCGCCATGCAAAAGAGGGAAAGGATAAAAGGAAGAAAAACACTTAAAATAACTTTGGCAGGGTAACCAGCGTATGCATAAATGATGACCTGTGGTCTATGTATTGTTTTATGGTCGAGAGCGAGACATTAAGTAATATATGGTAACAACAAGAGGGCAGTAGGCCCGAGTGTTTTTACAATATATACTCTTAAAAAAAGTAGGGGATATTGAAATGCAAATACCTATGCAGGTTATGATATGATAAATAGTCACTTCACATGCTTTGAGAGTATGTTCACAGATGGAGAACTTATCGCCCCAACAGAACCACTGAGCTGCACATGCGACACGCAATAACGCCATACACGTGGGAGGGCTCATTGTCAAATTTGACGCTTCAAGGAAGGGTTGATGAAAACTGCCGCGTGCTGGTTTATCTATCCATGTTTGCTTTCCTATCGGTTCTTGCATAAGATTTACTGTTTAGCGTATCTTTGTTTTAGTGTGTTACGTTTAATGTGATCGGGAGACGTGTTCGTCGACGTCAACGTCAACCGACAACATTGCAATAATTTGCGGTGGCAGTGCAAGAGGAGTGGGTCAGATTGCCCCAAATCGTGATTGGACGGTTAATTAGGAGCATGCCACGACGAATTGCTGAATGTCTGAAGATTGGTGTAGCAATTACTCATTATTAAGACAAAAATCAAAAACGTCCATTTTCACTTTTGACGGTGCAGTATCTCTTTGCGAGTGAAATGGGGCCGTCAGATAAGCCGCCCATATGAACTGTTTATGTTCATGTGTAGGCAATTGGCCTGTTATCAACATACACTGGTTAGCTCTAATAAAAACAGCAGTGCATTTCCGCAGTTTTGTATTGTTTCTGAATATCCCCTACTTTTTTGGAGTGTATACTACGCAATGTCTTATGCTCGAGACCATTAAACTACTTAAAGTATAGACACTCCGCACTTTTACAGTGAAATACGTCACGCGAGTCCAATATTTCACTACTATAAATAATGTACTATTGGCAAGTCGGCCGTGCGATTATTTGAAATAATGGTACGCCAACATCAAAGGGTGGCGTCACATCTGTATTTTAAATATAAAGAAAGTCTGGCCAACGGCGGCCATGTCTGCGTAAACTTTAGTGAAAGCAGACGTTAAAGAACCAAGACAGTAGTAGTACGACGGCCATGGTCGCCATTTTATTACACAATTTGTAAGCTTAATAGATCAACAAAATGAGAGTCAGTGAAAACTAACATAATGTTATTTCTGTATAAGATATAATTGTTCAAATGCAGGAACTGAGTAGGAATCTGTAATTTCATGCAGTAAGATTAGACACAAAAAAGCCATTTCGTTACCCAATCACAATTTAGACACTAGTTTGTCAGACTTTCTATATATATGGCTAAAATCGAAATTATTGACTAATAAATTCAACATCCCTACAAACACACTACGTAAATGGGAAGTTGACGATTTCTGCTAGTGTACAGGAATTAGTGTTTCAATAGAAAGAAAATCTCAAACAAAAATGCAATACAATTCGGTGTAAAATATTTTATTTTTTATATAACAATAATGGTGGAACGATACTAGAATAACGTGAAGCATTCACTATTAAAGTATAAGTTTTATCTTGTACTTGAGATGCTATCTTTAATCCTAAGTCTGGACTCCATACTCCAAGCTGAAAGAAACAACTTAGATTATTAATCACATGTACAAAACAATTAAATGGATTTTATCTGATATTTAATGAGACACTCCCACTTTCGCAATCGTTATTAATTGGTGAAATTTAGTTTCGTTTTCAAATTTAATTAATTTGATTGTACAATTCAACTGACCATGTTCAATTGAGATCTTGTGTAGTATTTGAGCATTGCTGTGATACGGACGATTCAGCTTAAAATAAAACCTCAAATGCCATGATTATCAGAGATATTTAAGTAGGCCAATGCTAGCACCTTTAACAATGCCATTTTATTGTCTTGATTAACGTGATGTTCCTTTAATCCAAACGAGGGATTATTTATGAAATGAGATTGAATACGTATTTCGCTTTGCTATATTTCTCTAAAACTATTGGCTTCTGACGTTATTTCAACTACGGCTAATTTTATATCCACAGATTGACTCTAATATGCAGATGTAACAGTTATATGCAATGTACATTACATAATATAAATCAAATGGAACACTACCCCAACACATTAAGCTGTCACCCTTAATGATTCCCACCTTCAAATACAAAATTACAGCAAAAATGTTTCTCCATCGGTCGTACGATAAGACTAAGCAAATAATAATCCATTCAATAGAACAGCATGATTTCATATCGATAATAGAAAACCCAACAAAACAATATAGTTTATGCCTAGATCATTAGGATTATTTAATATATCAAAAAACTTTTATAAAAATTCAATACACGCCTCTATAACATTTGGTCCATTGTTTAACTTGGTAATCTGCAGATGGCAAAAATAATCAATTGTCATAGATTTATCATTAATTTTAATATAAAAAATGCACGCTCATCATTCAGATATTCGTCATTAATCTATCTCAGAAACAATTTCAATAAAAGCTTCCAAGTAATGGGACAGGGTATAATCACAAACGACCCCCGTGGTTTAAATGTCAGTTACACAGGTGAGAACAATACAAACATAAAAATATGATATTAGTGAGATAGAATATAACTATTAAAATGATAGATAGCATTGTTTACCTTAAGAGCTCTATTACCGTTACGATATTGATAAACACCAAGCAGAAAATTTCTTCTTTTAAACCAATCGTCCAAAGCTACTGTTCCAGTTTTACCATAGAAATAAACCTGAATTGAATATATACAAAACATACGCTAATTGTTATCTAATACGAACATAGCCCAGTAATGTAATTATAGAGCTTGTAATTTCCGTAACCATGATAGAAATTAATAGTTCAGTCTTTTCAATAATTCAATATTGCGTATGCGTCTTGAGCAGTATCAAGAAACCGCCCGACCCGGAGAAAACCCACGAGGTTGGACAGGCGACCCTACACCTTGTAACGTACAACCGGGGAATCGAAACCACGCCAGTTGACTCAATGTCAGACCTTACGATACGGCGCGCACGTGCTAACCATTCGTCCACCCCCACATCCGCTCATTCATAGGAATTAAACCACTTTGTAATAGCTAATAAACCGATCGTTTATTTTACTCACTGCTATTAATATTCTAATTTAATAAACAGTAGCATTTAAAATGGCAATATTAGGACAAACAACTGTTCTCTCTGATAAAGATGGACTCAAGCCTTGAAAACCGGACGTCATGAACTTACCCTAGCTAAATATTCCATAAATAATGAACCATACGGCTTCTTGTCAACCACAAAATTTGAACATTTAGCGGTAGTTCTCTGAAACGTTGGCGGAAAAGAACTCCATAATCTTGGAAACCATTCTTGCTGTTCGCTCATTTCTACAGCCATTCTTATCAACTTAATACAGTCTGATATTAAAGCATCGGAGCTCTGAAATTTATCATTTATAATACTAATGTTATAATACTAATAATACAGTTCTGGTAGATTGTAATGAAATATGATAGTGAAGGCATTAAAACACACGATAAATCAACACCAAAAATTTCACCAGTTAAAAAATCATTTGTCGAGATTGTGTTTCATATAATAAAACAAAAATCTGAATCAACAAATACAGGTGAGCAAAAATATTTTGTTAAATACTGTAACACAGAGGATAGGTAACAGTTAAACCTATTGGAAAGGATTTTCTGGTATACATTGTGAAAGGGAAACAACCCAAATTTTCTTTCTATAATAGACCAGAGTTCAATGGTATATACAGTAATTATCAGTGACAATCAATATTCCTTATATGATGAACAAAACGGACAATTTGTCTGCCGTGCCAAACATGTTTTCTGAAATACAGGTTACGTACTAAGTACAACAACAAATTTGTAGGTGTTCTATACAGGATAAGCATAACCTACAACGTGTACGACAAAGACATAACTTGCATCTAACTGGGGCAATAACTTGGAACTAGGTTTCAGAAGCCAAAGTCTACTGCGTAGAAAATAACCGCGAGTAATGTTGTTTTTCAGTAGTGTGGGATGTGCAATTCAAAGAAAGTACGTCTCTCAACAAATAAAGTTATAGTGGAAAAATGATTAGAAATTTAACACAACTAGCAAAACCATGTAAATCAAAACTAAAATTGAACGTACAGTATAATGAATACTGGTAACTAAGTAGTAATGTTTTAAGAATGCCATCAGTTAGCAAACATGTAATGATTTTAAGAATAGTATTAGTAACGTAAACAGCGGAAACTATGTATTGATTTTAAGAATGATATTAGTAAGGTAAACACTGGTAACAATGTACTGATTTTAAGAGTAATACTAATAACTGGTAACTATGTACAGATCTTAAGTATGATAATAGTATGGTAAACAATAGTAACTATGTACTGATTTTAAGAATGATATTAGTATGGTAAACAATAGTAACTATGTACTGATCTTAAGAATGATATTAGTAACGTAAATATTGATAACTATGTACTGATCTTAAGAATGATATTAGTAAGGTAAACAATGGTAATTATGTACTGATTCTAAGAATGATATTAGTAAGGAAAACATGTACCGATTTTAAGAATGATATTAGTAAGGTAACAATGGCAACTGGTTTTAAGAATGATATTAAATGTAAACACTGGTGACTATGTACCTATTTTAAGAATATTATTAGTAAGGTAAACACTGGTAGCTATGTACTAATTTTAAGAATGACATTAGTAAGGTAAACACTGTAACTATGTACTGATACTGATTTTAAGAATAATATGAGTAAGGTAAACCATGGTAACTATGTAATGATTTTAAGAATGATATTAGTAAGGTAAACCATGGGAACTATGTAATGATTTTAAGAAGATATTAGTAATATAATTATGAATTACCGACATAAGTTCTTCTTGGAAGGTATCAGGAAATATTGCCATAGTTTCTGTATCCTGTTTGGTGTCAGGTGGTACAAGTTGGAAACCTGTTATATTTAATTCTATATCTTCATTTGGTAGAATATTATTTACTAATAGTTGATCCTAGTTAATTAAATGAACAAGACAAAATTAATATCACTTGAATAAATTCCTTGATGTTGAATCATATAGGCATAAAACTGATCTACAGAAGTACATAGTGTACACTTGTGTCGTTAAGCTCTACCATTGCCGAGTCTATCACGGTTAAAACTGGGTGTCTCTTTCATCTTTTAATTAAAGTATCTTTATATCCATCTCAGATATATTCGGATGACTAACCTGTGGTTATTTCATTTTGTTATTCAGGTTATCCCAAAGTTAGACAAGAGACAGACTTCGACAACGAAAGAAGTCGCTATAATGCATTAGCCTGTGCTTATAAAAGTATACAAACCAGTGTTACTGTTACCAAATGTAATCTGGCACCAGGTACAATGTGTTTATTCTGAAGTAAAAAAACAACAACACCACTTGTATGAAACTGTTCTTGATAGTCTAGTAAAGAAAAAATGCTTTTTTTTTCATTTCTTATTGTCAAGTTTACGGACAAATAAAATGATGTGTCAAGTCATTTGCAATAGACAAAAGGTATATAAAGTATGCTTCCCAAGACTAATTATAACTTTCATCGTAGAGTGAATACACATTTTACAGACTCCAGAAACTTACCAAATATTGTACGATTTCTTTAATTTCTAGTTTACTAATGTCTAATATCATTACAAGTATTGACTGGTCGTCGTATTTCGAAAATTGTATTAAGTCTGATAGTTGGCCAAGTTCTGTAACTCGTCTAACATCCAGATCAACCAGTAACTCCCGAGTATTGATATATTGAAACACGTCTTGCAGTCTCATTAACCCTAAAATAAAATAAAACACTAATGTTGTTTTTAATACTTTGAAATCTGGTTCGAATTTTAAAAAGAGCACGTATTGTGTCTATGACCTTATCTTTACCGAATAGACATTTCGTGACTTCGGACAACGATGCCTAACAATTGTGTACTTTCTATTTATAGTTACATAATAAGATAGTCCCAAAAATAGAGGGATATTTTGTGCTAATGAACAGTTTAAAATCTCGTTTAAAACCATCGATTATGTGATTGATCAAATATCCGGTGACAAGACAGCTCTTCACGTGAAGTCATTGAAGAGTTCACCATAGTATTTATTACTGGCCTCTTCAAGGCTGTATTTAAGATTGCAAGGTTACTAGAAAACTGGGAGTGAAAAACCTAAAATATTCGGGACATGTTCCGCTATACCCGATCCTGAATACGGCCCTTGTTTTGTCTTTCGGTAACTATGCGTTAGTATAAGATAAAATAACTTTTAGTGGTATAATACACCCATTAAGAGACGCATACATACTATTAGAACAGAGTGGAAATAAATAGTACAAGACCAGGTAGTAAAAGGCAAAGGCAAATACACAAAAACAAGATTTCACTACCCATCTTTATTTCTTACCTTCGTCCGTATCATAAACATACAGAGCCTTTCTATACTGGTAAAGTTCTATAACATCAAATACTGCTCCCATGTAAGCTGGTCTCATAAACATTTGAAATGGTGAAGATAATGTATAGTTATGAGTTGAACCTATACTGATAAATGGTACGTTGAATGTATTACTATATGATTGTATAGTTGATAAAGATGACACATTGGTTATACCCAAGATGACGATCACATCTTGAGAAATTAAATCACACACTGAAATATAGAATATTTATTTTCTTAAAACATCTAATGTTAGAGTTGTGTATGCATTCCTGGTGATAATTAATTGTCCCATGTATAACAACTTTAACAGCCATCACGTGACGAAAATGAGGTGAACTGCACATTCACTAAGAAAAGATCCTTTCAAGGCCACGAAAAAAAGCTGCATTGGCCGGATAATGTGATAGCGATAGTTCATCCACGCACATGTTATGTTTTTATAAAATCCACTACGAAAAGTAAAACGTGCAGGAATTACATGATTTTGTATAAGGAAACATCAATGGGCAGACAGACTGGAGAATGACATGATGGAACAATATTAATTTACAGATAGCACATACAATAAAACCTTGCTTATGGTTTTACATCACGAGTAATAGTTAATCGGATATTGTTTAAATTTAGCTGAATTCTGTGGTTTTCATTGTTTTGTTTTCTCCTTCTAAATGATATTCCCTTCAATACATATACAAGATGTTTTGGAAATTTGTTGTTCTGATCAATAACGTCATTGTTAAAAGTATTACGATGTTAAGAAGTTGTTTAGGATGCTAAAGTAATCCCAGGAGAAAAGATTTCCCAAAAATAAAAAGGTATCTGTTGGGCAATGCAATTAGATCAAATTTAAGTATATAATGACTATATATTAAGCGGCTTTAATATTTCTGTATATATTGTTTGAGAAGCTAGACAATATTTACAAGCTGGAAGTGCTAAGGAAAATGATATTCATTTATCCATACAAAGCCTTTTGTTGTTTTTGAAGCCATGGAGAAATGGGTGATGTTTGTGATTACCATACTAATAGCCTTATTAGTATAGATATAGATCCCTTGTTGACACACCATGCATACTTTTTTGGCACTTTTATTGTTATTCAATAATTAAATTACTCGGATTTCTCCAATTTCAAACCTAAATGATGTTTTATTGTATGGCCATACAAAAATAGAAAATCAACAATGGCCTTGTTACAACATGCATGGTGCATCGATTGCAGTTTCTAACTTAATCAGTTTTTCTTCAGCAAAATGATCGCTGGGGATAATTTTTTGTGTACATTTTCTTCTCATTGCGCAATGACATCTTTTCAACATTGGTGAATAAGAATAGTACTCTAACTAAAAGCCTGTCATTCAATTTCATGAGATGGTTAGGTAAACCTTAATAAGAGCACGCTTGGCTTTTTCAATGATGCTCCAAATATGGAATGGGAAATATTCACATTAGCGCCACTGTTCAAGTACATGGAATTTGAGTGTCCAAGCTGAGCAGGCATTGGCTAACAGATAAAGAGCTATCATTGTAAAGAATGTTCCCAATCACTTACTGATAGTGATCGACAGTCTTTAATCAGAAACTTAATCGCAGAGTAATATTTTCTAAACATGACGATATTTAGCTTTTATACTTCATTACTCATAGTGTTGAACAAACAAGGGCCTGTAATAGTTCTAGCCCCCGCGGGTCATCTCTTTCTACTACACCAATTATTTTACACAAACTCTTCATCAACACATCTTTACACACGACTTAAACAACTAGAAAATCTTTAATAACCCCACCACTTATGCACTGATAGACCATACGACGCCGCTTTAATTTCCCCAAATGATCAAGATTTTCTTACCGACATTATTGTGTTTAATTAGCGTTCACAAAGACCCGTTTGACTTAAGCCAAGACTTTCGGCACTGGACATTAAGTACCATATACACGATCGATAACCAACGTTCGGAGTCGCTGCTTTCCGCCGACAGAAAGTCGTCTAACCTTGGATGTCGATATACCTGGAGTTTGCATTTGCAATTGTAATGGAAATCACTACGATTAGAGGGGAAGTATGTCATTAAAAATTCAATCATTTTCTTGCAAAACAAAACTTGTTGGCTATGTATCCACTTCTGATATAAGAAAAGTTTATCCGGTGTACTGGAACAATTAATCACGAGCAGGACAACCGTTTTCGGGATTAATATTTTGGATGTGCATTGTTCAAACTGTTTTAATCATAAATGATGACTAAAATTTTGACTGGGGCTTTCTATTTTTATAAAGATGATCTGTAAATACAGAAATATTATATGACATACTTACTTGCATTACTTACTGCAAAACTATCAGATATATCTACAGTAGCAATAACAGGACGTAGGTTTATGGTGGGGTCACGATGGTTGACCTCGGCCAGACTAGCAAATAATGTACCGTGATGCCGTAACGACTTCACATCAAATAAAACACCTAAAATAACCGACAGAAATCAATAATCAGATTTATTTCAACCCTGGCTCGCAATTCTATAAAATACCTAGAGGTGTTACAATAGATTGGACATGCACGGTTTCCAAAGAGAGATGGATAAAGTTTCTATTTTTGACTTGATATACTGGCGCCGTGTTTAACACGATATGCGTATTATCCCATGTTCCTGAACCAACGACCAATATATAAGACACACTGAGTTAAAGCGATTTCAAGCCTTCTATTGAAGATGGTATTATCCACTCTTATAGATACCCTAATTCTAAAAAAGTATCATAAATGAATAGTTAGTCTAATATAGAAGTATTTATTTGAAGCTAAACCGAAGTCTCATTTGTTTCGCCATTAATTAAAACTCATTTAAGAGGATTATTAGAGGGTATCATCATATATTCTGTATTAAATATAATCACTTATTATTTTCATAGATTACTGTTTAACATTGTATTAAAGACTAAACGTATTTATGAAGGTCGTTAATCAAAATAATGACTGGTATTACAACTCATATATATGCGTGGAACTAATTTGCTAGAATGTCCTGCAAGTGAAAATCGATATTTCGAGGTTACAAGGCGTTGATGGGAGCACTCTTGAAACATAGAATGGATTGTCATAAAAGAGAGTGATGGTAGAGAGATTTAAAAACAGTGTCTATGATATAACAATTTAGTTTGATTAAAAAGACCTTTATATCAAGCCGAGAATGGATTGGTTTACAAGCCATTGTATTTTTTATCATCGAAAATGAAACAATCTTGTTACGATACTGCTTAAAGATATGGAAGCATAAATATACGAACATAAGTAGGGAAGCTGCTCTATATTATGGGTTATTTCGATGCTATTTATGTATTATCTTACCTATTGAAATTGTCGTCTTGGCATTAACCATAACGTGGAAAATTACATTTAAAAAGACTAAGATCCACATGTTTTCAGTTGACAAAGAGTTTTAAAGACATCTAGACATCTGTTTCCGGCTTGCTCATCAGTATGATCTCTTTGCATTTCCGAGTCACATAAACCTTGTCTTAGGATGTCATTTGGTGGCCATATTTACTGTCATTAATAATCTTACGATGGCAAAAATTCTCAAAGAATATCAACAACCGGAAAAGATATCGTAAGAAACGGCCATGCGCAGTGAATAAGACGTCTGCTTGTGTTATCCGTTTATTGATTTGTTCAATCGCCATCACTCGTACCAGTCTGGGAGGTAGAGTATCATCTTCTATGTTTAATAGACTACAGCTGGTAGTATGAATGAAGGAAGGGGAATCTCCTTACTATTTGAATTTCTTGTTTCAGAAGGTTTTATTCGACCCTTTTAAATCTTCAAATGTTTGAAGCTTTTGTTATTAATGGAAAGTTTGAATTTACCAGTACAAATAATATGCATATTATAAAAAGAGAAATAAATAAAAAATGGTAAATAATATGGCGAAGGGTCCTAACATTGTAATAAATCACACTGATTCCTACATTAATTACTTCAAACACTTATACTGTGGGGGGGGGGGTGTGGATGGCTGAATGGTTAGCGTGCGCGCGCTGTATCATAAAGTCTGTCATTGAGTCGACTGGCGTGGTTTCGAATCCCTGGTTGTACGTGGCAAGGAGTAGGGTCGCCTGTCCAACCTCGTGGGTTTTCTCCGGGTCCTCCGGTTTCCTCCCACTGCTAAAGACCCCTACGCGCAAGCGAATTATGTAAATAAAATTAAACCATATGTTAGTCCCGAAATGACCTAGTTTGTGTCGAGTGGACGTTAAACCCCATTTCTCTCTCTCTCTCTCTTATACTGTGTTTAATCCAGGTGAATTACTTCCCTTGTTTAAAGCGTTACAGTTGTGGATTGTTTCATTTTCAGCAAATTATGAATAGACTTGATGTGGTAATACTGTTTTTGCTTACAACGTATATGTGTTATCTGTCCTATAGCAACAATAAGAACACGACAGGGATGACAAGCGTAGGATGACTGCCCCCCCCACCCCCCAAAAATCTCATTTAAAGATCCTTCAAAGATCCAGCAAATTGGACTTAAACATCAATCTGTGTACGATCATTCCTCAAAGTTTCAGTTATCATGATTATGTTCTTTCCAAAATATGCCGCAGGCGTTGGGGCAAACTCGCACACTTCGTGAAAAATTACTCGCACACATTCCTATTTGTTGATTTCCCTGATTTTTGCTGTGATTGCTGCCTTCGGTTCATAAATCGTTTGAGGATTGTTCTAGTCAAAGCCCAGCCTAGGCATGGGGCTGAGGGGCCCCGACCCAGGGCCCCGCGGTTTAGGTGGACCCGCAGTTCATGGCTATCCCCCAACCTTCTCCGTGAAGTACCACTCGGTGATCGGAACCGAATATATTTCGTATGTGATCAGACATTATGAAATTATTCTTGTATTACAGACCGTTTAATTGTGTGTTACACATGCGTGCCATTCGAAAGGATATGAAATAATCTTTTCGGCGCGTTACGGTTAGGGGCTCCGCGATTCTAGTCGGGCCCAGGGCCCAGCCCGAGTTATGCTGGGCTTTGGTTCTAGTGCACATTACCCTTGTGATACCCCGAAAGAGGAATGTGTTCGAGTAGTTGACAATTTTTCGAGACGTATGCAAGTTTGCCTCCAACGCCGCGGAGCATATTTTGGAAAGAACATGACTTTTATGCAAAGCTACCAAGACAATTGAGACTTTAGAGAATGATCGTACAAAGGCTATGTTATGCAATTCAAGGATCCATGTACATATAGTTTAATTTACTAGTTCAGTTACTTTTATCCGATCTTACCCCGCAAACTCCACGAAAAAAGAACAGATTTTCTGACCGGTCGACGATACTTTGGATGGGCAAAGTAACCCTAAACACAGGAGTTTTATCCGATCCTACCCGGCAAATTCCACGAAAAAAGAACAGATTTTCTGACCTGCCGACGATACTTTGGATGGGCAAAGTAACTCTAAACACAGGGTTTATTTTTATGTGTGTGTGTGGGGGGGGGTGGGGGGGTAGCTTATAATATATATAAAAATGTAAATATGAGCATTCCACTTTATACAACTATACAGAACAAAATGAAGTATTTTAATAGAACAATTAGTAAACCTTTCTCCGAAGTCAAACCTGTTCAACATTTTGATTTAAAAAATCACGACCCAACAGATCGAACGCGTTCATCTCCTGAATCTGTAAGCAGAAGAACCTTCTTGGATTGTCAGTGATGTTTCGGGTTGACACACTGTTATCCACAATACCCCCCATTCTCGGAATTCAAATGGTTAACTGAAATAATTGATTCAATCTCAACTTTTAATCTTACTGCCAAAGCCCTAGAAAACATTTAATAACATATCGAACAACAGTCCTTTAAGTCTGATTTTCATCTTTGTTTTTTCTTTATAATATAGTATAATCATGACTTTTCGCATTGTTCGAAACAACTGCTTATTTTCAATACATGTAGTTTTATTCATAATATATTTACAGAATCCCAGAATTGCCCTGTAGGACTTTTCATGGGATATATAATCACAAAGTGTTTTAACGCTAGCAATTATTTGATTTAATTTAAGGCTAGAAACATCTTTTTCATTTGCCTCTCTATTTCTTTTCTCGTACAATTTAATAAAAATGGTCATATTCTACTTGTATTATATATTTGAAGTTTTTTGATGGAATTTAACTTTTTTTGCGATTGTTATATACTTTTAGGAAAAAGTTGTTTTCCTGTCAGATTCTATAGCAGCTCAGTCGCATATCTAAGTACTGTTTTTTGACAGCGCCCAGCATTCCTAATCGTTTAGTTCTGGAATACATAATTTCGAGCTATTATATCCTAGCTGTTTTGTTGCCTTTTCTTATTCGAGATTAAATTAATTTTGAATTTACAGAATGCTACATTTTCTTGTTTCATTTTGAATTCATGACTAATCGTACAAGTTATACTTGATGTAATGGCTACCAGTAATGTATTTGATGTGATATAGAATATGAATTTACTATAAGGTTTTAAGAAGCAAAGGAATTTAAATGAGCTAAACCTATAACTCAATAGTATATCCATAATATTCGAAATTGTAATATAGAATATGAATTTGTTATGACGTTTTCAGAAGCAAAGAAATTTCAATAGCTAAACCTTTAACTCAATAGTATATCCATAATATTTGAAATTACAAATTGGAATTAGAATTCAATATTGATTTATTTCAATCAATATTGATGTTGTTACCTCATCGTGAAAATATGAGATCATATCCAATAATTAATACACAATGAACATTTTGAAATCAGAACACTTGTCTACCTTATAGTTTCTAGCCCCATTTGTAATCGACAACAACCCCCCCCCCCCAAAAAAAAAGAAACAAACAAAAAACCCACACATATCCCATAAAACAATTAGAAATGACTGATTCATAAACGGCAAAATTATAATGATAAAAAACGTCTAGAATGGACTAAGCAGGCGCAAACGTGTGCCGTTCAATTTGGACTGTTCACGTATTTAACCGAACTTAATTAATTAGAAATTACAATGATTGTTTTTAAAATTTGAATGTAGAACAATAATGTGTGCTTTTAGTTCCAAAGATTAGAACCACACGCTCTTTAAAGTGTCACGGGTCAAAATTATGATTGTCATATTGAAAAGTTGACGTCTCTGGATTTTGTTCTCCACTGTCCACCACAGTTTAAACTAAAATTAGTAAACTAGCCGACTTCGACTTAAACATACATTATGCAAGAGCTAAATCTTGCTATTGCCAGTCTTTATTTAGGCTTCAGATGTTATAGAAATTATTAATTAGATCCTTTATTTACAAGCTCAAAATCAACTCCGTAGACCTACGGATGGCTTGAATACTGTTTGGATTTAAACAGTCGTTCATTTAAAATTAAATCAATAAATGGCGGACCAAGCTCACGTTTATATCGTTAGTTACTGATGTCACTAACGGAAACTGGAGATGAAAGGCCTGTCAAGCGAGGCTACCATAGCCATTGGGCATTTTACTTGATAATCGAGAATGAATATGTGGGTGGAGATATCGTCTGTCAATCAAACGATCGCCAATTCTCATAGACTGTGCAGACACAATTGTTTTTTTTTTATATAAAACTCTTAACTAATGTATCTTTAATCTTTTGAAACAAATTACAATCGTATAGAGCTTGTCACCTAATCCAAATATCAGATGAACGCAATTCAATGATCAAAGAAAAAAAAAGAAGAAATCTCTCTGGTTGTCTTAGGAAGGGGGATAATCCTTAGCACATAGTAGTTATCAGACAACAAATAACGTTATACTATATATTTTAATTAAATATTGAGCCCAGAGCTAGAGAATGCAAACAAGATATTGCTTCAATTTGACATGAAAAAGATGGTAGATCTTTAATCTGGTCGAGTAGAACACCAGTTACAAGGTTTATACAATAAAACTTGTTTAATAGACTTTACATGTTCCTACAATCTATCAACATAAAAGCACAATTACTATGAGGTTCTATCGTAATTTCGTCGTTTTGTCTGCAACTATAGTCATTAGAGATCTGTGTCTAATGATTAAGAACATTTGCGTCACATGCACTTTCATATACAGAAAACATGTATTGCCTGTCACGTGTATCGATTTCTGGGTTTTAGTCTGTTTTTCTTTGATTGTGATTCAAATCCGCTAAATCAAACGGCCTGATTTCATACAGCCCCCCGTTTAATAAACTGAAGCGTTTTCCTAATAGCTATTTTATGTTGTAGCTTTCAATCTTTCACTGACATTGTATGGTAGATAAGGGGGCGAATTTATAAATATTTGCTTTGATTGCGAGTAAAAGGTCCTAGAAAAAGCTGTTACTCAAAAGCAAAGTAAACTGCTATGAAGCATATGAATAACCATATTCGGTTACCATTTCAGTCGCAGGTGCCCCTAGTGTTGAACTTAAACGTGGCATTCTTAATGGATTATTACAGACTGAGATTGTTATATTGAAATTCCAGTCCTTTGGAACAAAAATATCAAATACAATTCTAGTTCATTTTAACATTAATATAGGACCTGTATTAAGAACATACATTTGAACCCACATTTAACATTAATATATTACTTGTATTAAGATCGTT